CGGTTTTACGATCCTTCAGCTGGTAGAATTCTTTTTGATGGAGTAGACATTAAGGAGCTTGACCTCAATTGGTATCGGCACCAGATTGGTCTTGTGAGCCGCGTTGTTTGCGACAACAATAAGGGAAAACATATTATACGGAAAGGAAGATGCCAGCGATGACGAGGTCTACAGAGCTGCTCACGCAGCAAATGCACATAGTTTTATTGTCAGGCTTCCCGAAGGCTACGACACTCTGGTAAGCTGTCAGTTTTGAGATCACAAACTGTTCTCATCTCCTACACAGGTTGGCGAACGAGGACTAAAAATGTCCGGAGGTGAAAAGCAAAGGATTGCCTTAGCCAGGGCGATAATAAAGGAACCACGTATCCTTCTGCTGGATGAGCCTACCAGTGCTTTAGACATGAAGTCAGAAACAGCAGTTCTGGCTGCTTTAGAGAAGGCAAGGCTTGGACGCACGACGCTTATAGTCGCGCACAGGATTTCTACGATCCGGAACGCAGATGCAGTTGCTGTTTTAGAGTCGGGAAGGATAGTAGAGACTGGAAGACACGATGAGTTAATGGCAGTGGGGAAGGCGTACAGGGCTCTTGTTTCTTTGGAAACGCCTCGCAGTGCTCTGCTAGGCGGAGAAGATGCGGTGCATGCAAGTCCTGAGAATGCACAGTCATCACATTCAGCACCAGTTATCGCAGCCCAGAATGATCAAGATTCAGTTCTTTATCCCTCAAGGCGGATCAGGCCATCGTTCTTCCAGCTTTTGAGTTTAGCAACACCGGAATGGAAGCAGGGAGTGTTGGGACTCGCCGGTGCTCTTGGTTTTGGCGTTGTGCATCCAATGTACGCCTTTTTGCTGGGATGCATGGTTTCCGTATACTACCTGAACGATCACGAACAGATGCGGAAACAGATCAACCTCTACTGCGTCATCTTTCCTGCGATGATGGCTGCGTCCTTTCTCGTGAACCTCGAGCAGCACTGTAACCTGGCAGCTGTTGGCGAGCATTTGTCAAAGAGGCTGCGTGAGGCGATGCTGGCGGCGATCCTGAAGTTCGACGTTGGATGGTTCGACAGGGATGAAAACAGCAGCAGTGCAGTTTGTACACGCTTGTCCTACGACGCAAACGTGGTAAAGTCTTCGTGTTTTCCGTGGATATGTAACTAAGGAATCTCTTATCTACACAGGGTGGCATGTCATATCGCCGTTTTTGTGCTTACAGATTCGAGCTCTTATCACCGACCGTATCTCACTCCTCGTTCAGACGGGTAGCGCAGTAATTGTGAGTTTCACCATCGGACTGGTTGTTAACTGGAGGCTGGGAATACTCATGATCGGGACTCAACCTCTGTTCGTCTTCTGCTACTACATCAAACTGGTATGTCTGAAAGGCTTTACGCACAAGTCTGCAAAGGCACACACCGAGGCAAGCCAGTTAGCTTGCGAAGCGATAAGTCAGCACAGGACAATCACAGCTTTTTGTTCTCAAGGCAGAGTTCTGGCAATGCTCCAATCCAGGCTAGATGCGTCGGTTACAGATCTGAAGAAGCGGTCTCACACTGCTGGATTGGGCCTGGGAGTTGCACACTTCGTTTTGTACGCATCATGGGGCCTTCAGTTCTGGTATGCGGGCGTGCTTGTCAGCAAGAGAAAGATCAGCTATCAGGACGTGTTCAAGATATTTTTCGTGTTCCTGAGCACGGGACGTGTGGTGGCAGAGGCACTTGGCCTGACGCCCGACCTCGTCATGAGCTCTATAACATCTCTGAAGCGCATCAGCGGGGTCGTTCCTAGGGAGTGGTATTCACGAGAATCCATTGGGACTTGAAACCCTAAATGATGTTCAAGTTCTCGGACTTGGACTCGATCCGCGGACGCGAGACAGAGAATCTAATGTGGACCACGACACGCATCAAATGGCGACTCTTTGTCCCGGATTTGCTCGTGGATCTCTCGCACCATGCGCCGGAAGAGCTCCAGAGCGAGCTCGTCTTGGCCGTTGTCGACGCAGCCAAAGATCATGGACGTCCACGAGATGACGTTGCGATCTTGCATGGAGTCGAAAACTCCCTGCGGATTCCGCGTACATGTCGACGAGGGAAAATGCTGGAGTGAGCCATACCTTTCTTCAGAGAAGCGAGCTTGACGAGCCGGGAGTCGATCTCCACGGCCTCCCCCTTCACTGCGCAGCAGCCGCAAGCCTTGATCGCAGCTAGAAACGTTCTCGGTCGTGGCCCTTGAGCCCGGCAAACGAGAGGCTAGTCTTGGCGGGATCGCCAAGTGCTTCCTCTTGTACTCCTCGCGGTTGAGAAAGTATGCATATGAATACAGGCGATAGTCATCGTCATTGTAGCTATCATCATCTCCCTCTTGAGTCCTCGGCCTCGCCGCACGCTATTGCCAAAGCCACAAAGACTTAGAAATGGAAAAAACTAGAGTAGAGATCGGTGCTTACCGTGGCGAGTTGCATCAGGGGTGCGTTTGATCTTCTGGGCGCGTTTACTCTCTGCACCACACCGCCCCGCCTTTCTCGACCCATTCCCGGAGAAGCTCTTTCACTCGAGGCAGCACTATGAACTCCACGTCTAGGCTGAAAACCAGCTAGAATCGGCTGCTGCACTTCAGCAGGAGGCACAGCCTCGATCCGCCAGTAACGTCCACGAGCAGTCGCAAAAGAAGATCGTCAAGAAGTGCTGCCTTGCGAGAAATCAAAGCTGGAGCACTCCAGCCCCTGGCAGACCGCGAGAGCTCCTCCGGTGTGGCCGCGAGAGCTCCTCCGTGGGGAGCTGGACGATCCTTGTTGCAAACATCCCAGCTTCCTTCTCCGTGTCCCTGTGGAACTTTTGGAGTGTCCTCCAGCCTCGTAGAGCAGCGGCTTGTAGAGCTTTACGTCGAGCTCCAGAGCTCTGGCATCCAGTCCCATGGCGGCGAGACCACAGACGAGAAGAAGCTTGGGGCAGGAGATCTTATCTGGACTCGAGGAGCGTCCTCTCGCCGAGACCGTATGGCGCTTGCTGGCAAACCGACTTGGCCAGACTGGGAATCCATAACTCCCTTAAACCCTAAAATGTGTTGCTCAATTTTATGTTTGTTAGTAGCAGCATACTAGAAAAATCAAGTTGCACCAAGGCTAGCTAAGCCACAAAAGACTAAAAGACTGCTTCTTGGGTTTAAAATTTGGGGTGGTTGGGTTGTGCCAGGCTCAAGCGGTAGTGTAAGGCCAAAGTGACACGTGGAAGACCGGGTAGCAAGCTACCAGTGGCCCTCCTCCCACAAAAAATTAGGTTAATAGCGTTGGGACACGTGGTCCCATATCAGCTATTAAACTGATAAGAACAGATACTACATTTGATCTTAGCCAAAAAGCTGAGAAAGGTATGAACTTTCCATGCTCAGACTTTTATTTTCATTATACGCTAAGTCTCTCTTTTTTGTTTTACGTTCTAAGTTCTTGCTATAGGTGGTGCTTTGGTAAGCAACTGCCAAAGCTTTTCTATTGATCTTGTGTTCCAGCTTCTTTCGTGCTCTAGAATAGTTGTCTAGAGCTAAAGCTCAAGCTCAAAGCTTTGTAGGTTTTAAATTCACTTTCTTTTTATATTTCTTCATCGCGTAAGCGCGGTGTGGAAGCAGTTTAGAAGAAGAAACTACTTTTCTAGAGCTGGATTCGTATCGCTGTAACTTCGATCTTCCTCCTGGCGAAACAAGACATCTGAAACGAAAAATGCGGTGAACGTGGAACGAACACGCGACCTTCAGTCTGAGGCTCTCCCAACTGAGCTGTCCCCGCTTACTTTGACTGATTAATAACATTGATTTGTTCTTTAAAAAAAAGGGAAATTGAACAAACGTTAGAAGTTGAGAACAAAAGCTAAACTGATGAGTATAATATGAAAGGCTATTTGCTAGAAAAACTTTTCACCACTACTTTGTAAGGAATTTCCTGTACCACCGTGCGGATGTTACCAATGTGGGAATTCTTTGCAAGTCCTTCCCATACTCGACGTGATAGAGGCCGAATTTCACTGACAGTCCTCTCGTCCACTCGAAGTTACCCAGCAGAGACCATACGAAGTAGCCTCGACCATCGGAGCCACCGCTATGCAAGCACGGAGATGATGAAAAAGAGAACATGCGTTTGCCAGGTGAGTACCTTCAATGGAGCTGTCACATTTGTAACATCGCTTATTCCTGATAGCGAGTTTTGGTTTTTTTTTTTTTTTTTTGTGAAAGAAACTTTAAGTTGAGAAGGCGCGTCATTCCGAACGGAACGATGTAAAAGCCATTCACGTTCTGTAAAATTAAATGATCATTCCTCGTATCTGCGACCAACCACAATGGGATTCAGGCTTTTGAAGAAAGAGTAAACCTGTTTTCTCTAAGAGAAAACTCCGGTGTCTTTGAAATAGGCTTGGTGGGAGAATGCTGCCTGTGGTAGATTAGAATTAGCAGAATCTGCGTCATAAAAGCTGGTGGTCATTAATCCCGACGAAGTCATGAGATCCTTTGAGACGTTTTGATTGTTCTTTCGTAAACCTTGGAAGACGGTCACGAACGCGAGAACGCATTGTTGCTGGACAAACATGATTGGATCCAGCATCCTAGAACGATTCTTTGTCAGAAACTCCAGAAGAGCAGTTCTTACCATCCAAGATTGAAGTCCAGGGCTCTCCTAGCTGCAGCTTTATCCTTTGATAAATTAGAGAAAATTGTGCATCGAGCGTAATACCGATGATTCCAGCTTGTTTCTCCTGATAAAAGAAAAGAAACGAGAAATCCAATCAGGAAACGAAACACAATTTTTGAGACCTGGTATTTTTCTCGATATATCTTCACTGCGGACGCGTGAGATAAAAGAAGATGACGTCCAACGATGTAAGGCTCCCCTGAAGAGTTCCCAGCAGAGCAGTTGCTAACTTCAGACGAGCATCTTCCAGGAGCAAGCAAGCCAAAGTTGTAACCAAAGTTACAGATTGCATGAGGCTCGTTGAAAGTAATCAAGTGCTTACACGATCTCCAAACGCTCTGAAGCATGCTTCGACATAAGCTGCATAATCATCCCTGTAAAGATCAAAGCTATAAGCACAATGGACTCCTTCAAGTTTAGTGAAAACTACGTTTTTGTCATGTCTGTTTGTTTTTTAGTGAAATAAAGTTACATAAGGTTGAATACCTATTAAGAATCAGTTAAGAAAACAAAAGAAAAAGGCACATTGTCTTCAACATTAAGATGGTTGTAATACTTCACACCTTCCTGGTTTATTTTGCCACTCCCCTCTGCAAGAATTTCACAAAGACGCAAGTAGCTGATATGTATCTTACCAGGGAAAATCCGAGATCAGGAGATGGAAAATCTGTAAGCACCATTAATCCGACGTCTTCCTGTTTGTTCACAGTCACGAGCAAAGCCAAACCAGATAGAGCTTGCAGAACCTTATAACGATGATACTGATCCACTGCAACATCTCCAGGTGTTCCATCCATTACTTTTCCGGGAGTGTGAGCATAAACGTCCCAGATGCTTGGGCCCCTTCCACCTTCTTTAATAGCGCCTTCATACTGCAACATAAACGTTGCTTGAAGAATGACGAAAAGCGCTAAGCTCCACCTGGTATGACGCGGACGATGTTCCAGCTTGAAGCAGCGCATTCTGGAAAGGGTCCAGTCCGAGGCAGTGACGCTATCCCGTTCTCAAGCCACTCATAAGATGCATTCACTTGAGCGTAGTCATCCAAGCCCACGATCCGGTCGATCTCGGACTTTGGTGCACGAGTCATGAAGCCACCGTTTATAGAGCGTCCTCCCCCAAGGATTCTTGCTCTTGCATTTGGTACCAGATCTGTGGTAAAAAATCCTTGAGAATGAGCTTGATCGAGAATGCTCAATGCAGAATTCTCTTCTCTCATGAACACGGCATTTCCATACGGCGAGTCGCCTCTTTCCAGGAGCAGGACTTTGGACTTTCGCGACAGAGATGTATCATATTTTTACTATTGCAATCTCTGTGTGGATCCTCTGGCAGGTTTCAGCATCCCTTTAGCTTTCGCATGCCATCAGTGCCGCAGATGGGAGATTCTAGCTCCTTCACCAAAAAGCCAATGCAAAAAACACTCCGAGGCTTCTAAACACCAGCACGAGATAGGCGCAGCACTTCCACGAGCAAACTTTGCCACTCTGCACAAGAACAAGGCTGATCAACCTGGCTATAATAGACGATATAGTAAGATACAATGTTTATATAGTTCCTCAAGAAGCATAAGATTGACACATTCAAATGAAACATTACTTTCTAACTTGATGCTTCCCAGAGAAACAAATACAGTTGAGAGCTGTCATTAAACATTTGCTAGAGTAATACTATTAAAGTTATTAGGGCTGTTTTATTAATGGGCTTGGTTCATATAAGCGAGGAGAAGAGAAAGGCGGTGGTGGATCTCGACAATGTGGAGCTCCAGCGAGTCGCCTCCATCCTCCACTCCGTGGTAAGCAAGCTTGGCGACGACAGCCCCGTCGAGCTCGCCAGGCTATGGTCGCTCGCCGCTAAATGCCACAAGCCCACGCTCACTGTGAACGTTGTCACGCCATCCGCCGCCGCCCTCAAGCAGCGCTTGGCGATCCAGCGCCAGAACTTGGAACCCAATCTCTCCATCGCCCCCGCCTTGCAACCCATCCCTGCACCACCGCCTCCTCCATCAGCTTCTTCATCTTTGTTCTTCACCACCACCACCAACAGTGCTACAGATGCTCCATCGCCATCGCCCCCTCTTGCAGTGGCAAGCCGAGGATTCGGCCAGTCTCTCGAGGAAGCGTTCGCCGGGCTGGGCCGGCTCAAAGATCCCGAGAAGGAGAATCAAAATGCGGTATCTCCAGTGCTGGAAGCTCCTCAAGTTGGCGGTGGTCTCCAAGAGAATGAGGTAAGCAAACTTCCCTCTTGGTTCTCGCTAAGTTCTGCTATGATCTTCCATGGCAGCCCAAGCTGGAAGGCTCTTGCTTTGGAGCTTGCAAGCTTCGCAGGCTGTCTGTGGAGATGAGTCCCTGGAAAGGATGCCTCGCGACTCCATCGTCCGAGCACAATAACTCGGCCATCTCGGCGCTTCTCTACTGTCCGGTGCTCGAGGCCTTCTCGGGGGACTGGGAGCAGAAAGGCTGGCTCTTCTCAGCGTCACACAACCTTCTCAATCTCTGGGTGTGCTCTCGAAAGCCAGTCGGCCACCCTCTCGAGGTAGCCACACTTCAAAAGCTTGACGTTTGCAAACTCTTTATGATCTCGTTCTTGCCAGCTGATGCATTCGCAGAACACTGCCACCGTCGTGGATGCCATGGACGTCGACATGGGTGTCAAGGTGATCATGTCCGTGGGCTCTCCTCGGCCGGGAAGGCCCTTTCGCGTTGCTCTCCACAGCCTCCAGACGAAGAACTTATTCGAGCCTCTGGTAATTTCCGTGCTTGTGTCCTCCTTCCAGAATCACGTCGTGGTGCTCGCAGGGAACGATCCAAATCCCGGAGAGAACCTCTCCCGAGTTCCTCAAGCAGATCTACGCCGGGTCCTCGAGAATGGTTCACGTCTCGTCCCTCCAGCCTTTCAAAGGACCTCTCAAGACAGCTCTAGCTGTTGGTCTCGGAGGAGATGTCCTGGTCTACGAGCTGGCCGCCGCGTCGACAGTGGAGGCCATCGTCGCTCCAAGAGCTTCGTGGAGAGCTCACGACACCGCCATCTCGTGCATGCATCCCAGCGCGTTTTGCTGCAGCATCATCACCGGTGCCTGCGATGGATCGATCAAGCTCTGGGACCTGAGAAGCAAGCCCACGCTTCCCTCCCGCCAGTGTGGACACCAGAAGCAAGTAACCGGCCTTGCAGTGCTCGACACCACCACCCTTTGCAGCTCCGGCACTGACGGCTCCATCCACTTCTGGGACTTGCGCTCGACCAACCGAGCTTTCGCCAGCGTCATTCCGGACGGGAAGCCGGTGCTCAACATGGCGTCGGCGTCGTCGTCACCGAGCTTGATCGCCTTCACGACGCGGCAGAGCCTCTACTGCCTCGAGTTTTGCGGGCCAGAGGGGATGACCACCATGCTCTCGCCGCTACGGCCTCTCCCTCCGGTGGGGCCTTGCACGGCGGTCAAGTGGAACACCAACAGCAAGCACGTCTACGCCGCTGGCGTCGATGGAACCATCAGCGTCTTCAAGAATGCGTCGTCCTCGTCTTGAAGAAGATCAAGGCTTTCAAGACCGGGTTGGCCGATCGTTTTAAGTTCGTGTTCTTTCAAAGCTCTTGCCACGCGTAGTATCATCTCATGTCATGAGAATGGAGACGAAGAATCAGCTCTCTATCAATTCATACTTGACGAAGGTGGCAAACCCAGCACGGCGACTTTGGTTTTTAAATCTCTTTTCTAGTCGCGAGCAAAGGAGATGCATCGAAGGGAGATTCCCGAAGAGAGGAACGTATTCGCAAATGATCGTGTCACTCTCCTTGTAGCACTCTTGTTTTACTGAGGAGGAGCAATCACAGCTCAAAGAAATACTAGTGAGGTTTTTGGACACACCATGCTGGCAATTCTTACGCGAAGAGCCGGAGCGCGGTCTTCAAGTCTTTGAAAGGATCTGGCAACCCGGTCTCCTGGACTGCATCGTTTGTGATTCCTGCGGTGAAAGTGAGGCTGTGCTCAAGACGGTTGAAAGAAGAACGAGGAAGTAACGAGGTGAACTTGGTGACATATGTTGCAGCTCTTAGGGTGAAGATTATAGTTCCTGATCCAAAAGAGCTTATCAACTCACTATAGCAAAGATTTTGATGAATAGTTTTTAAAAGTCACCATTAAGGATTATATTGAATGAGACGATTTTATGGTTGCTTTTCACTTACCTTTGAGTTTTTTTGTTATTCTACTTAACTACATTAATTTTTTATTTCTCTTATAAACTACACTAAATACTTATTAATATTAGGAACACAAATTTGTACTTTATATTTTAGTTATATGATATAGATATAAAAAATAATTTATATATTAATATAAAAACTTTTAATGCCAAAACCTATGTTAGGAATGTTTTATTAGAAAATAATAACTTTATTTAGTTTTACTTTGAGTAATATAAATTAGTTATATTTTCTATGATCAGTTTTGACCACAATGATTTTTTTATTATTTATATGCGGTATAAATCATTATTTGAGTTGCATCTTTATCTCAATAAATAATATACTCAAAGCTAAATGTAAAATTGAGATCATTTGCATAAGTTTAATGAGGATTTAGATTTATTTAATAGTTATTTTACTTTTTGAAATAAATAATTTTTTAAGTAACTCAATTTAATATATAAGATTTAATTATCACTACTAATTATTTTGTTATGTTTAAGTATTTTTTATCATTCTTTTTATTTTGAATCCTTTGAAAAATTACAAATAAAAATCATCAATTTAGTTTTTAAAAATCTTAACTTACTAATCAAAGAGTGTTATATACATTTTAATCAAAAATATTGAAAAGTGAGTACAATTAAAAAATTAAATGAATTTTGATTTAAAAAGTCTTACATCCAACCTATTTAATTTATATATTCAGATATACATGTCCAAAAAACAGTTTGAGCTCGGAAATCTTGGATCTTGAATTCATCTATATCACTACCAAAAATAAAAACAGTTTGCCATGGTTGAATGAATATATGACCTTTACAAATTTATAATTTAATATAATTATATTAAATATATATTTTAAATAGAACTAAAAATAAAAATATAATATAATAAAATTTATACATATAAAGTGAGGTTTTTAGAGATATTTTAAATTTTATGAGTTAAAATTGATATAAATAAGCATTGTCTATAATAAATTTATCAATTCTAAAGACTTTATTAAAAACAAAAGTTCTAACATGATTTTGATCTTCTTAATTAATTTATTAATATAGACATAATAAAAACTATCTAAATATTTAAATTAAATTTATTTAATTTCACTTGAATGTACATGTGGTGTTCATATCATCCTTTCTTGGATCTAGTGATCGGGATTGAGCATTGATGAGGGTAATACTTTGTAAAAACCTTTATTGGAATGATATCTCAAAAAAAAAAAAAAATTACTTGGCAGGTGATAAGATAGAAAAATAGAATAAACACAAAATATTTAGCTTTAATGGGTTTATAACAATCATCTTTTATAGATTAATAATATTTGTAAAAGGATATAATATTAAAAAATAAATATTTTATATATTTAACACATTACAATTAATAAATTTATTTAAATTAAGTAATAAATTTTATTAATTAAATATCACCAAGATCAGTGTAGAAGAGCTGAAAGGACATATAATAGAATTAAGAAGAAAAATTGAAAGAATGTAAGCTGATAAAAATAAACATTATTATTATATGATATTATAAAATATAGTTGGAAAGTGTTCATCATTAGTTTTATAACAATATAAAATCTTAAACAACCAAAGTACAATAAATAAATTTATTTATTTTTTCATAATTTGCATGGTAAAGTTTTAGGTCTTTGTTTGCAACATTACATACAAGAGTTTTACATTTATACATTGTCTATGCCTCTGACTTCGACAAGAAAATGACCAGAAAAGCTGTAAACTTAGGAGCACTTTGTGCCACTGCAGCCAGCTTCTTGCAAATGAACTAGAGAAAAATACGTACCAGACATCGACATTAGTTCCTCATGTGTTCCCTGCTCGACCACAGCTCCACTGTGCATTACCGAGATGCAGTCGCAGTTCCTAACCGTAGAGAGCCTGTGAGCGATCACGAGCGTCGTTCTTCCGGCCATTGTCTCCAGCGCATCCTGAACGAGGTGCTCCGACTCTAGATCCAAAGCACTGGTGGCTTCGTCCAGCAGTAAAATCTGTGGGCTCTTCAAGACCGCTCGAGCTATTGCAATTCGCTGCTTCTGACCGCCAGAGAGACGGATTCCCTTCCGGCCAGAATGCGTCTTATACCCCTCCGGCAGTGCACTGCAACCAAAGCAATCTTAGTGACTCACAAACAAGAAAGGAAAAAGCTTCTGCCAACCTGATGAAATTGTGTGCATTAGCAATGCGACTGGCTTGGATTACTTCCGCTTCGGTGCATTCGCTTTCACGTCCATAAGCGATGTTTTCATGTATGGTTGCCGAAAACAAGCATGGCTCCTGGCTCACAAGACCGATCTGTCTCCTCAGCGAGTAAAGTTCAAGCTTTTTGATGTCCTTCCCATCGATTTTCACCACGCCGCTTAGAGGGTCGTAGAACCTCTCGATGAGCGCGACGACCGTGGACTTCCCCGAGCCACTGTGACCAACCAGTGCCATAGAAGTACCACCTGGAACGTGTAGATTCAAGCCTCTCAGAACTACAACGTCCGGTCTTGTTGGATAAGCGAAGAACACGTTGCATGCTTCGATCTCTCCCGTAACTTTCCCCGGAGGAGTAGCTTCTGGATCGTTCGCATTTATCTTTCCCTTCTGACAGAGGATCCCAAATACCGAATCAATGCTGGCAGCACCTTTGGCGAGGTCGGGCGTCAGGCCAAGTGCCTCTGCCACCACACGTCCCGTGCTCAGGAACACGAAAAATATCTTGAACACGTCCTGATAGCTGATCTTTCTCTTGCTGACAAGCACGCCCGCATACCAGAACTGAAGGCCCCATGATGCGTACAAAACGAAGTGTGCAACTCCCAGGCCCAATCCAGCAGTGTGAGACCGCTTCTTCAGATCTGTAACCGACGCATCTAGCCTGGATTGGAGCATTGCCAGAACTCTGCCTTGAGAACAAAAAGCTGTGATTGTCCTGTGCTGACTTATCGCTTCGCAAGCTAACTGGCTTGCCTCGGTGTGTGCCTTTGCAGACTTGTGCGTAAAGCCTTTCAGACATACCAGTTTGATGTAGTAGCAGAAGACGAACAGAGGTTGAGTCCCGATCATGAGTATTCCCAGCCTCCAGTTAACAACCAGTCCGATGGTGAAACTCACAATTACTGCGCTACCCGTCTGAACGAGGAGTGAGATACGGTCGGTGATAAGAGCTCGAATCTGTAAGCACAAAAACGGCGATATGACATGCCACCCTGTGTAGATAAGAGATTCCTTAGTTACATATCCACGGAAAACACGAAGACTTACCACGTTTGCGTCGTAGGACAAGCGTGTACAAACTGCACTGCTGCTGTTTTCATCCCTGTCGAACCATCCAACGTCGAACTTCAGGATCGCCGCCAGCATCGCCTCACGCAGCCTCTTTGACAAATGCTCGCCAACAGCTGCCAGGTTACAGTGCTGCTCGAGGTTCACGAGAAAGGACGCAGCCATCATCGCAGGAAAGATGACGCAGTAGAGGTTGATCCGTTTCCGCATCTCTTCGTGATCGTTCAGGTAGTATACGGAAACCATGCATCCCAGCAAAAAGGCGTACATTGGATGCACAACGCCAAAACCAAGAGCACCGGCGAGTCCCAACACTCCCTGCTTCCATTCCGGTGTTGCTAAACTCAAAAGCTGGAAAAACGATGGCCTGATCCGCCTTGAGGGATAAAGAACTGAATCTTGACCATTCTGGGCTGCGATAATTGGTGCTGAATGTGACGACTGTGCATTCTCAGGACTTGCATGCACCGCATCTTCTCCGCCTAGCAGAGCACTGCGAGGCGTTTCCAAAGAAACAAGAGCCCTGTACGCCTTCCCCACTGCCATTAACTCTTCGTGTCTTCCAGTCTCTACTATCCTTCCCGACTCTAAAACAGCAACTGCATCTGCGTTCCGGATCGTAGAAATCCTGTGCGCGACTATAAGCGTCGTGCGTCCAAGCCTTGCCTTCTCTAAAGCAGCCAGAACTGCTGTTTCTGACTTCATGTCTAAAGCACTGGTAGGCTCATCCAGCAGAAGGATACGTGGTTCCTTTATTATCGCCCTGGCTAAGGCAATTCTTTGCTTTTCACCTCCGGACATTTTTAGTCCTCGTTCGCCAACCTGTGTAGGAGATGAGAACAGTTTGTGATCTCAAAACTGACAGCTTACCAGATTGTCGTAGCCTTCGGGAAGCCTGACAATAAAACTATGTGCATTTGCTGTGTGAGCAGCTCTGTAGACCTCGTCATCGCTGGCATCTTCCTTTCCGTATAATATGTTTTCCCTTATTGTTGTCGCAAACAACGCGGGCTCCTGGCTCACAAGACCAATCTGGTGCCGATACCAATTGAGGTCAAGCTCCTTAATGTCTACTCCATCAAAAAGAATTCTACCAGCTGAAGGATCGTAAAACCGTTCCAGCAGAGAAATAACAGTAGATTTTCCGGAGCCACTTCTGCCAACTAAAGCGGTGGTTTTACCTGCATTTGACGCTCATGAGAGAACGAAAAACCTCAAGAGTCAGAGTTACCGGCGGGTATGTCCAGTGTGAAACTGGTAAGAACGGGTGTGTCAGCTCTTGTCTGATAGCCGTATACCACTTCCTCCAGTCTGATGTGCCCTTGAACAGATTGCATTGCTTTCCCGTCAGATTTATCGACGTCGATGGGTGGAATCCGCCTAATGATGTGAAACATTCTCCATGCCGCCATGCGTCCTTCAACAAAAACGCCAAGATTGGACATGGCAAAACCAAGAGCTCTGCATCACAAAAACCAAAGTTTTCATTTGTTCCAAACGTAAAAGAGAAGTACCTTCCTCCGTTAAGCAGAGCCAAACCGGTAGTGATAATCTCAGCACCATTAGCTTCGCCGTGCATGACAAGCACACTTCCAAACCAGGCCATGAAGGCCCATAAAACGAAGCTGATGCCGTTGGAACCGAGTACCAGCCCCTTGATAAGTCCCTGCTTTAAACCAGATGCAACGGTTTCCTCGAGAGCAAGAGAATAAGCTCGAAGGGACTTGGTCTCCGCGACAAGTGAGTACACAGTACGAATGCACGCGATCGTTTGCTCCGCCATGTTCCCTGCTTTACTGTACGTGGCCTGCTTCTCATTCTCAAACTTCAAGATGGCGCTCCCGTAAAACACCCCTGGCAGAATGAGCAGCGGCGTGAAAGGCAGTATAGCGATTGCCAGCTTCCAAGACTGCGTAAATCCAACCAAATATCCTCCCACAAACTGGACAACGTTCCGGATGAAGTTGCCAGTCTATATAGACCTTCACAGCAAACATCAATATCCGAAAGCGACACAAAAAATATATGAAAGACAACGTTACCTTCTCGCTAATTGCCTCTTGCACCAGGAGCGTATCGTCCGATACGCAGTTGACAATGTAAGTTGCTGAAAGCTCGTTGTCAAGAAAAGAAACGTTCTGGCGGAGCACAGATCTGAGATACAGTGCTCTCAGCCTCGACGCTTGCCTCTCGCCAGTAAACATCCAGCAGCTTACTTCTGTCTTAACCACACGGGATAAAAACACATTTAAGCAAGCCCACTAAGTTGTTCTTCTATTCCTTTTTCTTTAGTCTATGGATAAGATACCAATGTATGACGCGATCCACGCAACAATGGCAATATAAACAAAAAGAAGCGCGTCCTGCAGCAAAACAACCAATCCACACTCACAACCAAATCCAAGATCCAATCACCAAAACCGGTGGAGTCAAAGGAGAAAAAGCGAGCGCACTACTTAGAACAGGGAGAAAACCGCGCACCTGGGAGAACTTCGTGCTCATCGCGCCGTCCTGTGGCAAAGTACCAAAGTTGTCGATCATGCGGCCGCGAATGATGAGCATCGCAGGGAAAGTGAGGCCATTGACGACGGCGCCGAGCGTGCCAGCCGCAATCAGCACAAAATCTTTGGCATCCGCGAACCGGAACAGCGAAATGTAGGACACCGACCGCTCCGGCCCCATCGCCCTCTCTTGCAAACCCTAAGCCAAAATGGCGCCATTTACTCTATAAGCCCTAACTTTTAAAAAACCATCGCTATCAGATCGGGTGTTCGATTCCAACCCAGAACACTGTTTAGGCAGGGGAGTCGAGCCGCGGACCTGAGCACCACGTCATCACCGTGTCTCTCAGTATAACTAGCGTGTAACTACTGCATGAACCGACAATGGTCAAATTCTTCTCTGTTTTTTCCAGTTCTCGTTTTTTCTCTCCAATCGCGAAGCTTTTTTACTGCTACTTAGCTTGGAGCTATCGATAACTCACATATAAACACCTAGAAAAGGAGAGAGCTCTTAGAAGTAGCGAGCTCTTTCCCTGGATTCTAGATTTTAGATTCCATCCACAGGGGGCTTTAGTGGCGGGGCGAGCGAGTCACTTGGATAGATCTGCGCGGCTGCCCACATTTCTTTTTCGCTCTTTCTCTTCTTCGTCTTCTTCTCGCTTTTGATTTTCTTCTGGGAAGAATCTCGCCTTTGTCCTCGTCGCAAGCAATCTCGCGCACTCGCAGCAGTATCGCGGCTCGCAAAAGGGACCCATTCGATTGCTGGAGCAAGGATTCGCATCGATTCCCAGTTCTAAGCTATTTATCCTTTGTGGGTGGGAGGCATCCAGGATCTTCGGGCTTGCAAGCCAAGGCTCTAGAGTTTCCCTTCAAAAGGACCGACATTGGGAGCTCCCGAGAGAGGATTGGATTGGAGTCTCGATGATGGCGATGGTGGTGCTTCTACAAATCATCTCCTTGCTTCTGGGTAAGCTCCTTTCTCTCTCGGATTTTTCCTTCTTCTCCTTTGCTGGTCTTGCATTGTTCTTCGCGTTTGTGTTTCATGCCGTCACACCCCTCTCACTCACCTACACTCTTCACAGAGAAAGGAAAGAAGGAAGCCAAAAAAAATGTGATTTTTTTTTTTCCTCCACTCCATCCAAGCGCTTGTTGACAAAGCGATCACGTCACGAGAGATCAAACAGGAAGCTTTGATCTTTGGCCGGTGTTAGAGCCGTGATCTCGCGACACTCGCTAAGTGTCGCAAACTCGCTCGAGCAGCCACTCAAGTTCTTCCTCCAGTTTGTCGGTGCTAGTGCCGTGATCCGGGTCGATACGATTCCTTCTCCCCTGCTTCTTCGATCGATCCATCCATCCCCACAATTCCAGTCCCAATGCTAATCAATTCGCTAAGATCCAAGCTCTGCCAGCGACAGAGACTGTTGCTAGCGCGAGCGTTGCGACATTTCATTCGCTCCACTGTAGCTCCTCCTTGTCTCCATCGCCAGCGATCGCCCACGATCGCGACTCCAAGCCAAAGCAAAGCAAAAGAAATTAAAGCTCTCTCTCTCTCTCTCTCTCTCTCTCTCTGTGCCATGCCACCACGCCATAGCCGCGAAGACCAAAGAGAGTCGCAAGAGAGACGTTTCCTATACTTCCTTTCTCTCTTCCCTACAAATGGTGTCTCTAACGGTGGCAATGCCAAACGATGGCGACAGGGGCGGTCCGGCTGGCGGTATCCGACGGTACCTTCACCATCCAGAACAACTGTGCCGCCACGATATGGCTCGGCGTCGTCTCCAGCGCGGGCATCCAACCGCTCACCTTGGACAACACCATGCTCTCCACCGGCCAGACCATGACCGTCACCACGCCCTCCAATTGGGGGGGCCGGTTCTGGGGCCGCACGGGATGCAGCCGCGGCACCGACGGCACCTTCACCTGCGCCATGGGCGACTGTGACGGGCGGGAGCAGTGCACCGTCGGCGGCAAGCCGCCCGCGACGCTCGTAGGTAAGAACCGTGCCGCGCGGTACTAACCGCTACACCGCGCGGTACTAACCGACGTCACCGTGTGTGCAGAGTTTACGCTCAGCGGCTATGCCAACATGGATTTCTACGACGTGTCGCTGGTGGATGGCTACAATCTGCCCATGGCGGTATCGCCAGACGGCGGCGGGCAGGGGCGCAACGCGACCGATCCCAAGAGCTGCGGTGCCGCCGGCTGCACGGGGGATCTCAACCGGAACTGCCCGGCGGCACTCCAGGTGACGGGCACCGGTAACGTGGTGGGATGCCGCAGCGCCTGCGACGCTTTCAAGGAGCCGCAGTACTGCTGCACTGGAGAGAACGCGCTGCCAACGACGTGCAAGCCCACCGATTACTCGAAAGCTTTCAAGCAGTCGTGCCCGAATGCTTATAGCTACGCTTACGATGATCTCAGCTCCACTTTTACGTGCATGGGAGGGCGCTACACTATCGTGTTTTGTCCCACCGCGACCGACCTGTGAGTATCTCTCTCTCTCTCTTTTCTTCTTTCGTTCAATCCATCCGTGGAGAGTTCCATCTTTGAATTGAGTGAAGTTTTTCATGATCTTGGGTTGGTTTTCTTCTCGTGTTTTTTTTCTCTTTTCTTTTGGGTCGATTGATCTCTGGTTTATTTCAATCCATCAGTTCTAGGGAGTGATTTTCAGTTCGTTTTTCTCGTTTTTGTTTTCTTGGGTCAATTGTCCACCACCATTGCTTGTCCCTATCTTGCTCACCGCCACCTATAGGATAAGCGATTCCTTTTTCTCAGAAGAGCATCTTGTCAGCAGTCAGTACTGTGTTTGCTTTCTCTTTTCTTTTGTTTTCTAGTTTCTTCGTATATTTGTATGTTTGGTTTTCCACGTCAGTTTCAATCCTGTTTGAGATTCTATGTGATTGTGGTCATTGTCCATTTTTTTGAGAATTTTCACGGTTTTTTTTTTCGTTTCTAGTTCCAAACCTTCCAACTCTTCCGGCAACTTTGCCAAGTTTTCTCCCGCGTACATATTCGTAACTGCGTTGGCCTTCTTTTTTTTAATTGCGTGAAGGCCCCTCCATCACGTAAATTGTCTGTACAATACAATTTCGCGACCATCATCCACTTGACTTGGAGTTTGAGAGTTCTTCGCTCGATCTTAGTCTCGATGCAACTTCTCTATGCTAACGCTTTGGTTTCCCTCCGCGATTGTTGTTACAGATCCGATGATAACAATGGAGTCCAATTTCCCGAAGCTCAAGCAGTGCCAGCTCCAGCAGTACCATCCACCGATGGTGGCGACAACTTCCCAGTCGGAGGATCATCGCCCACGGTAGGAACCAACTTTCGGATAATCTCTCCATCCAGCGCGCCGTCACGGATCCAGTCTTTGTGGTGGCCACTGGGCCTCGCGCTAGGCATAGTTCTTTTGAAAAGCATTTCTTAGGATCATCAAAGAAAACACTGATCGATCGATTGATTGTTTCATCGGTCCATAGAGAAAGTTCCAAACAGGGGTTCCACTAAAGAACAATAAAGAAAAGAGATTTCAAACAGTTTCCGTGGCTACTTGGACAACTTCTGGTGCTTCTTGACTCGCTGCTAGCTTCGCAACCACCGGCGGCGCAACTGGAACTTCGTCGACGTAGTGCATCAAAACCGTGAACCCGAGCTGCGTGATTCCAACGATGATCGAAAAAGCCTCGAGAACTCTCTGGCAAGAACAAACCAAGATAAGCGAAAACCAAAGCATAGAAGTAAGATTGTATACGCACGAATTTGCTATTGTCGCTGCCGAGATTGACGTTCTTGCTCGCAAAGCTGGAAGAACTCGTTAAGATTCTTGCAGGATGAAAAGGAGCTTATAGTTTTACCCAAGAGCCACCAGAGAGAAGGCAGCGGAGATGATCGCGGTGGCCGAGGCCGATGCGTGGGAAACCGCGGCCGGGTATTTCACGTAGTAAAGGCTGCTTACTGCTGATAGCGTTCCGACCACTCCAGCCAGCAGCGAGACCAAGATCAACATCAAACGAGACAAGTCTGGAGAACAAATCCAAAGAGAGAACTCCACAAAGTTGTAAGAAGAAAATAATCACCTTTGCCAAGCATAAGATCTCCCGCAACATTCTCGAAAGCCCACGTCGAGAAGCCAATGAGGATGAGATACAAGACCAGATTAATCACACCCAAGACTCCCGCCGCCAACTTTGCCGATACCCAGTTACACACGATGCACGCCATCGCCGCCAAACGATGATTATTAGCCGCGAACTAATTTATAAAAATACATTCATAGACTGATAAAATATATAGATTTTAAAAAGCTGCAAAAATAGTTTCAACAATATAAATCATAAATAATAACAATAAAAAATATAAAGAAAAGTGCTTTGCTTTCACTGAGAGTTGAACTCAGGACCTCCCGCTTACTAAACGGGTGCTCTGACCAAATGAGCTATGAAAGCTGAATAAAAAATGACAAATAACAGTTAAAATATAAGTCATATTACACTGTAAACTAAAATAGTAATAATAATAATTAATTTAAGAAAAGAGTTAAAAATAAAGAATATTTTTATAGTTAAAATAACATATTTAAATAATTTTGCTTTCACTGAGAGTTGAACTCAGGACCTCCCGCTTACTAAACGGGTGCTCTGACCAAATGAGCTATGAAAGCTATATGGAGATTGAGCGAAGCTCCAGCGTTATGAGGTTACATCCGAGATGGTAATGCTTCCCGATTGATCGGCATCTTGCTCCCGAAAGTCGTCCAAGATCGCTTTCACGTCCGCGTCCTGGATCTTGCCCAGCTCCATCAACTTGTAGATCACAAACTCGGGAGCACTGGCATGCATGCACGACAGATATCAAGTTCTTTCCTCTTGGATCGATCGCAGCAAAGAGGATCAATCGAGAAGCTGTTAAGCTTTACGTACCTGAGCCTGCCATCTTTGTCAATATCGGCCGCCTCCACGTCCGAGATCGTCACCTTTCGCGAGAGAACCCACTTTGCGATGGCGTGCTGCCGCTCCTCGGTGATGAGCTCGGCGAGGTAGAGCATGAACTGCGCGACGCAAGCGGTGCTGGCCAGGATCCAAAACACCGCACAGATCCTCCCGCCCTCCGTCCTGAAAGCTCGATCGCCATAGCCCAGCGTGGTGACGGTCACGCAAACGCAGTAGAACGAGTCGACGAAGCCGAGGCCCTCGACTCCCATGAGAATGCCGATGCCGGCCCCGAGGACGATCACCACCAATCCAGCAGCGACGAGAACTTTGTGCTGCACGCTCGTGATCCGGGCCTCTCCCGACTGCTCCAGCTGCTGTTGCTCCTCGAGAGCTTTCTCGAGCAGTCGCTGCTGCTTCTCCACGAAGTAGTTCGCGGCGTTGCCGATGATGAGGCCGATGAGGCCGAAGCCGAGGAAGACGAAGGCGCAGGTGAAGAGCTTGGCGGTGCTTGTGTGGGGGACGAGATCACCATAGCCGACGGTGGTCATGGTGACGGCGCAAAAGTAGAGGGCGTCCACGATGTTCACGGTTCTCTCGCCCTCGAACCCGTGCTTGACGTAGATGAAGCACAGGAGTCCCACGGCGATGTAGATGAGGAGGATCATGGCGGCTCGCTGGGGCGTGAGGATGGCCAGGTTTGCAACGGGCGGGAGCTCGGGTTGTGGGGGCTTCCCGGTCGATCGCTGTCGATCCAGGCTGTAGTTTGCTCCAGTGTCGCTCGAGCATTTCTTGAGGTGGTGGTCCTTGGGATCGTTCGCAGGAACGAGCAAAGGCTCTCTAGTGTTGCTCATGCTTCTCACCAGAAACTAGAAATGAAACAAATGAGCTAGATCGAGAAAACCATGGACGAAGTCGAGAAGTCAAGATCTACCGTACACTTAAACCCTTAAAAAAAGAATGAGACCTCTCTCCTATGCCGTACGAAGAAGAGACTTCTAGGATCTAAACTCGAGGTTCCCAAGTTGGAGTTTGATGGGATGGAATCGCCCAAAAACTTATCCTTGCTTAGAAGACAAGACAAACAACCGCCAAGGTACCTGGACTGGAGCTCTGCCCTTCCAAGCGCTCAACGCCCAGACCTAGAAAATGTGGCCAGTCGAGAGCTCGATTCCTCACCCCTTCACTCCCACCAACTTATAACCAAGCTTTTCCACGTGAAATTATAATCCACTACGTGGCCATGCTATTTTGTCACATCGTGGATGAAAATTCTTTGACATCATCCTTTTGAGCTTTGAAGAAATGGATCAAGAGAAAGGGTTCTCTCTGACCAAGACAATGCTCAAGAGATTTTAATACTTTGCTGCCAATGTCGTGATCATATGGTGAGCTCCCTGGAGTGTTTCTTGACAGAATTCTTACATCTTTGTTCTTTTGTCAATACCGTGCTTGATCTAAACTTCTTGCCTAGCATACAAAGAAACCATGTTTCCCACACGTAGCACAAAGATGAAGAGGGAGGGGGAGAGAGAGCAAAGAAAGACTTTGCTTGGTCTAATTACTGAAATAGCGGTGAATCCTAAACCTTAATAGTTAGGTAGTCACGATTATTTAAAACAGCAAACATTGTGATGAGAAACTTACTATGCCATCTTTTTGGCAAATCTGCAGTGTTCCCTCAACCTCCAGGAGTCCATACATCCATTTGGTAGACCCCAAAACAGCCAGCGGCACTGTCCCGGGGTGGCCATTGTTGATATTGCGAATCACCCCTGGTTCAGCACAGATGGCAGCTTGTAATACCGCATTTATGCTCACGTTCACGTCATCTTTGCACTCAAGATCCAGGCACAGACACTGAGCTTCAGCATCGGATTTCTGCACCAGCAACAACAAATAGTAACATTATCTGCAACAGCAAAGACTCAAGATTCTCACTCGGAGCGGATCTCGCGCATTTTGAGCACGGGCTTCCGAGCGTGGTTCTTCAAGCAAGTTGAGAATGGTTGAGGGACACTTGAGAGACGTGTTGAATGCATAGGCGAGAATGCCACACTCTTTGTCACTACCAGAACTGTCTTCATGCGAAACGGCACAAGAAAAATCCCGTCATTCCCCTCCTCGATCTTGTCTTCGACCAACTTCGCAAACTGCTGCTTAGCCACATGAAAAAAGACCACAAATCGTACCTCCTCGAAAGTCCTCTAAGGCTTTCGAACTCTTCCCATTCTTCATCCGTGGGTGATGTGAGGCACCTCAAGCTGCTCACAAGGTGGTGCATCTCTGTGCTAGCAGAACGAGTACACGCCCTGGAACAGAAATAAGGAGCGGGTCATTGCATACACCCCCCATAAACATCTGACGCTGGAAATCGAAAAGGATCGCTCAAGTTTGGCTTTGTCCTGCAAACGCGAGAAAGAGCCAGAGATTGAGAAAACCAATTGGACAAAGAGACAGTGAGATCTACCGTACAACTAGAAGAATAAGACCTCTCTTATACCGTACTTCTAGGATGCAAATTCTGATGCGATGGAATCGCCCCAAAACTTATCCTTAGCTTAGAACTCAAAAGACAAGACACACAACGGCCAAGGTGCATGGACTGGAGCTCTGCCCTTCCAAACGCTCCTAAAATCGAATCCTCGCACTTATAACCAAAGCTTTTTCACGTGAAATCTTAATCCACTAGGTGGCCAGGCCAAGTTATTTTGTCACATCGTGGATGGATGCTCAAGAAATTCTATGATATCATCTTTGGAGAAATGGATAAAGAAGGAAAAGAGAGTGTTCTCTCTGACCAAGACAATGCTCAGGAAATTTTATTTCTTTTCCTGTCAATGTGGTGATCGTATGGTGAGTTCATGGCTCTCCTTGTTTCGATTCCACTTCTTTGGGCTCCACTTTGGTTTTTGTCACCACTTACCAAACCTTCGTGTGTGTGACAGATAACTTTTGGAGCACGCAAGAAAACTCTCCATGAGTTTTTTTCTTGAGAGATTTCCTATGTAGTTGGTTCTTTTTTGTCAATGCCATGCTTGATTTAAAGATCTTGCCTGGCATCCCAATCCCCAGCTGGCCGCATTGTCTTGCCATGATACAAAGAAATCAAAGATGTTTCCCACACGTAGCACAAAGATGATGGCCAAGGAGAGAGAGAAGTATGGAGAGAGGAAACTATGGATATGGCGAGCAAAGAATTAGCGCAAATCCTTTAAAGTTGAAACATCTTCGAAAATCTTTACATCGAGAGAGAGAGGAGAGAGAGGAGAGAGGAGAAAATCTAAAAAATCCGCCATGGTGGTGTGTGTAAGTAGTGTTCTCGGAGTGTGTTGTGTTGTATTCTTTTCCTTTCTTTTTTTCCTTGCGATCGATCATACTGCCGCCTCCGCGCTTGTGTGTGGCGGCGGCTTCTCCACTTCCTCGGGCGGCGCCGTCGCCTCCTTGGTGGCCGTGGTCTCCCCCGCCGCCGCTGGCGCAGCTGGAGCCGCCGGCGCCGTGTGGCCGATGAGCTTATCGTGGCCAAAGATCCCGTGAACGAGCAAAGTGTAGAGAAGCTGGGTGATTGCACTTATGATCGCGTATGCCGCCAGCGTCGTCTATCATCCAAGCCAGACAAGAAACTCGGCTCCAAAGTTCTCGGAAGAGGAAAAGAATTGTCTTACCAGCTTCTTGTTGTGGAGGCCACCAGCGTGGATGTATTTCGAGGCAACGCTGCCAGGAACCAAGAGAAATCCTCGTCAGAAACCCGAGAAGCTTGAAGAGATCGAGCAGGGAGGAGGAAATTGACTCACCCAAGTGCCAGGATTGTGACCGGCAACGCGAGAATCGATGTAGCCATCGCCGAAGCTCTGCTCTCGGAGTTCCATTTCCTCAAGTAGTAGAGACCCGCCAGCACCGAGGCAATGCCCACCACTCCAGAGAGCAATGTGTACGTGATGAGATCGGGAGTCACCTTGTTCCCTGCCAAGAACAAAGATCACAAGAACACAAGTTAGAACTCCCCAAGAATCTTGGAAGAACAACACACCTCCCAATCGACCACTCATTTGCTTGTCGTAGGCCCAGCCCGCGAATCCCAGAATAACAGCGTAGAGGGCGAAATTGAGCGCTAGCAGAGGACGGAGCAATGGCTTGAGCGTCATCTGGTGCCTGAGCTGCGGAGGGATCGCCATAGCCGCCGCCAAGATCACCCAAACAGAAGAAAAAAGAATTTCTCCCTCTTTCCCGTTCGAGCCAGCCTTGGCCGCTATATACTCCCCCGCGGTAAAAAAATCCGAGTAAAAAACGCCGGCGCTCCCGCTATCCAGGAGGGAAATGTGGGCTTGCCCAGGTGGGTAAAAATACTGGCTTTTTACCACTCGGTTTTATCCGTGGCTGCCGAGGATTCCGTTCGTTTGGCGGCAAGTGGGGGGCTGCCATAGACAGCTTTGCAGCGGCGTCCCAACGGCTATGATCTGGCGGCCCTCGCGGATCCAACGGCTGGGATTGGGTGTATGCTGTAGGCCTCGCTGTCGCCACGTGGCCAGAGTGGACATGACCCGTCACCCGTCAGGCTGGTGGACGGTTCGATTCCCACCAATCTTTATTGGATTAGATGTCATTAACAGGGGGGCTTCCTGCCTGGAATCCATGTTCGGTGGCTATTGTTTTTGTGATATCACTTTGGAGAGATGATGATATTATTCCTTGGCTTGGCTCAACTCCAAGTGGAGCAAATTCTTCTATGAGGTAGCTTTAAAGCTGGCTGGAAGTGCTGCAAGGGAGATCGGTTGAGAGGAAACAAAAGACTGGAGAATGGAATAAATGGAGTTCTGCCACTGTCGTTCAGGATCATGTGTAATATTCCACACATACATCAACCAACTGGGTGCCATTATAAATATGAATTGTCCAATTTGGGTTTTGATCACACAAAATGGTTAAAAGAAAACTAGATTCTTAATTTCTACTTTTACTCTTCATCAATTGTTGATAGTCATAGTCGCTGAGTAAGAAGTTCATGGATGGCAGATGCAAAACAATCGGACTCGGCCATTTTAGCGAAGAGTAAGCCAAGCGATTTCTATCTGAGCACTTGGCACCACACCTGGGCTTGACGCTCCGGCACGGCTGGGAGGAGAGCGTTTGGCCTCCTATCTTCGTGGCAGCTGGTGTTCGCAGGCTTACTAAGGCTGATGTATTAACGTAAACTAGTTTAAACTTTTATTTTAGTATAATTTTTATTAAGGTTTACTGTGCATGCAAAGACACTTGCGTTTCAAGTTGGCGAGCACAAAATTCAACGACGGAACCAACTGCATTGGAAGATTATAGAGAATGGCGGTCACCAAGCTCTCGTGTCTTCTTCTGGCTCTCATGGTGATGACCAGCTCGTTGGCCGAGGCGTATATGGTGGAAGAATTCGAGAGCTATCTGGATCGAGGCCGAGATCACGACCGCGGTCAAGTTGGTGTTCGCAAGGGAGCCGTGTGTTCTTCGTGCAGCAAGAAGTACTGTGCTAATCCTTTCAACCATTGCCACTGCGAGAATGGTTGTAGCGAGTGCTCCTGCTACATCACCCAGCAAGCTTTAGCGATGAGAATTGAAATGCCTCTCCATAGTTTGATCTTGACCTTCAAAATAAAGAGAACTATCTGAGCTTAGGTCTTCTTTTCACGCAAATTCTGTTTGTTTGAGAGAGTGTCAAGATGTTTGTCAAAACGAAACGTGAGAAGATCGCAGTGTGGAGAGCTTTGCTGCTCGACACTCTCATCGGCCGGTTCTTGACGAGAGGAACCAGCGATTGCACCACGTCTGTGATAAATGGATAATCAGCCTCAAGTTGGATACACGAACAAACAGAAGTTTTGACATGCAAAATGGATAGAAATGAGAACATTATGACCTCCACCTGTATCAAATATTTCATTGCAAACTGCACAAAAGTTTTGACATGCAAAATGCATACAAACGAGAACATTACGAACCCCACCTGTATCAAATCTTTCATTGCAAACTGCCTCGGATCGATGATCTCTACCATCTTATTCGTGTCAATGCCTGGAAGAAGCGAGTCTTGATTCTACCCAAAGAGACGGAGACTCCTTCACCTGGCAGTCATTTCATGTCACATCGGATTTGGTCTTCAAGAAAAAGAACAAATGATAAGAGATTCTCTACCACCTTAGTTAGGGTTGAAGCACAATGGGATCCGTTGCTAAGGAGGAAGTGCAGTCTTCCTACACCTTCTTCAATCGCAAGGCGGAGCTGGAGAGGCTGCTCAGGATCTTGGATAATGCGCCTCTACAAATCACTGTGCTCCTGGGTCCCAAGGATACGGGAAAGTCGCTGTTATTGACGCATCTACGCAAGCTATGGAACTCGGATGTGGGCAGGAGCACTTTGGCTCCGATGGTCATCATTGACATGTGCCTCAACGATTGCTCGTCTCCTGATGCCATGGCCGCTTTTCTGAAGACAGAATTGGGCGGCTGGCAGCGGCGCGTCTGGAGTATACTCTGGCCTCATACAATGGGAACTCGGAAGCTCGCTCGAAGCATTAAATCGTTCTGGGAAAGTATTGAACACGTTCAAAGTCTTGTGGCAATCCAAGGGATCATAAACAGCTTTCTGACTCAACATGAGTCTGTCAAGCCGGTTATCGTCATCGACCATGCTCATAAGCTCGCCAAGTGGGAAGGCGTCTACGACAAGGAGCTCGACGACTTGCTCAGTTTCCTGGAGGCCATAACCAAGCAGACTCAGAGAGCTCATGTGATCATGGCTTCCTCGGACGAGTTCTTCCGGTCGTGGCTGTATAAGAAGTTCGCGGATGGAAGATGCAGAGCAATAGAACTTGGCCTCTTTAGCGACGAGGAAGCCAAGCAGTTTTTCTCCGAGTACGTGGCACCAACTGTGGGCTTGACGCTCCCGCAAGACTGGGAGACGAGTGTCTGGCCTTCCATCTTTGAGGCAGCTGGAGGAAGCCCGTATCTATTGAAGACGGTGGCGTGCAACGCTTCTCTTGACGATGGTGAGTGTGCTACCAATCTACTGGCACAAGCCCAGGATCTCATAGACATGGAAAAGGTGAACCTGGAGATAGCTTTGGACCTTGGGGAGGAGGAAGGATGGACCCGAGCAGAGTTGGCTGGGATCGTAAAGGCGATTGTGCAGGGCGGTGGTGCCGTGACATACAAGAAGGTGGTAGCCGAAGTGTTCCGTTGGCAGATCAACCGTGCCAACGAAGTTGTAAAACGGCTGGTGCGCAACAAGGTCATCCATGTTCGCGTGCTCACCAGGGCTACCAAGTACAGAGACATGCCTGCGCAGCACACCGAAGCGGGTGCGTACCTCATGGCCACCAGTCCTGCGGCATATGCAGCCATGAAGTCAGGTTCATACTTGCTGTATTGTTAAACTGTTTTTAAACATTTTATTTATCTTCTAATATAGTTATTTTACTGAGACTGTGCATGCAAAGACTAGCATGTCGTTCACTTGCGTTTCATGCAACTGCAAGTTGGCGAGCATAAAACCCAACGAGGGACAAGCGATGTGACCAACTGCATTGGAAGATTATAGAGAATGGCGGTCACCAAGCTCTCGTGTCTTCTTCTGGCTCTCATGGTGATGACCAGCTCGTTGGCCGAGGCGTATATGGTGGAAGAATTCGAGAGCTATCTGGATCGAGGCCGAGATCACGACCGCCGTGAAGTTGGTGTTCGCAAGGGAGCCGTGTGTTCTTCGTGCAGCAAGAAGTACTGCGCTCATCCTTTCAACTATTGCCGCTGCGAGAATGGTTGCAGCGAGTGCTCCTGCTACATCACCCAGCCAAGCTTTAGCGATGAGGATTGAAATCCCTCTGGAATAGTTTGATAGTGACCGTGCTTTAGCTTCCGAGCAGGCTTCACAATAAAGAGAACTTTCTTTCGCCCATTACAATCCTTGAGCACTATAAGCTAGATGGTAACTTACAGTCTGCTCGAGGAGAAAAGCGATCGAGGATGTTCTTTTCACGCAAATTCTGTTGCTTTTGATTGACAAAACAATGAAAGAGTGACAAGAGGTTTGTCAAAACGAAACGTGAGAAGATCGGCAGTCGCTACTTCCACTCTCGGCAGATGAGGATTTTACAGTGACGATGGCGTGGAGAAAGCTGGGGCTGCTCAACACTCTCATCGGCCGGTTGTGCTTGATGAGAGGAACTAGCGATTGCACAACGTCTGTGATAAATGGCCTGTAATCGGCCTCGGGTTGGACACACATAGCAGCAATAGCTGCGATCTGGAAGAACAAAAAGGAAGTTTTGACACGTAGCATGGATAAGTTTTCGAGCCCCACCTGTATCAAATCTTTCATTGCAAACTGTCCGTTCAGCCTCGGATCGATGATCTCTACCATCTTGTTCCTGTCTGTGAGCCGTGGCAATGCCTGGAAGAAGCAAAAAAATTGGTTTTTCACACGATCAAAGAAGGAAGTCTTGATATCAATTACCCAAGAGACGAGAACTCCTTCGCCTGGCGGTCGTTTCATGTCCACAGGAACACGACCCGTGAGAAGCTCCAGCAGAACCACTCCAAAGCTATACACATCGGATTTGGTCGTCAAGTGTCCAGTTAACGCATACCTGGAAGAAAAATGTGATTTTTTCTTGAGAAAAGAACGCAAGGAGATGTTTTTTTACATACTCGGGCGCTACGTAGCCTTGAGTTCCCAGGACCCGCGTTGAGACGTGACCCCCAGCTTTGTCCGAGCCCAGCTTTGCGAGGCCAAAGTCGGAAACTTTGGCGTTATACTTGTCGTTGAGGAGGATGTTGCTGCTCTTAAAATCCCTGTGAATTATGGGAGGGCTCACCATCTCGTGCAAGTACTCGAGGCCTCGAGCAGCGTCAAGAGCTACGCGCATTCGAGTGTCCCAGTCGAGCATCGGTGGCCTACCACTGGTTCCTGTAGATCAGCAAAGTTGGAGCTCTCGTTGGTTTCTGGTAAGAGGTTTCCATACCATCCGAGTGTAGGTGTTCTTGGACGCTTCCGTTTGGCATGAACTCGTAGACAAGCAGCCTGTGTTCTTGATCAGCGCAATATCCGATGAGTTCCAACAAGTGTGGAGAGTGTAGTCTGCTCAGCATGTCAACCTGATCCAGAAGTTCTGTGAGAAAAAAGAAAGAAAAAAGAGATTTTTGATGGAAGAAGGATTACCTCTACTCGAAACTCTCGGTCACCCTGTTTGCCCCCTCGATCGAGCTGCTTGATTGCCGCAGTTCTACCGTCGGGAAGAACACCCCGGAAAACACTGCCAAATCCGCCTTGCCCGACTTCGTTGGACGTAGTAAAGTTGTTTGTAGCGGCCTGCATTTGCTTGTAAGTGAAAACCTGTGCTTCGCTCGTCGATCCATTGTAGCTAGAGCGTCTAGAGAGGGAAATTGACTGGCTGGTCACGCTCTTTGCCGGCTCGGCCACTGCGAAGCAAGAGATTCAGGAAAAATGAAAGAAGGATAAGGAAGCTCTTCCGGAAGGACAAAAAATCTAGCGGGAGTGACGTACCTTCTTGTCGAGGAGCTCGAGCTTTGTGTCGAAGATAGCAGTAGTACGCAAACGCGATGGCTACAAGGACGAGAGCCGCGGAAGCGATGATAATGGCGATGATAAGCACAAGGTTGTCCTCCGAGGTGTTATCACCGGCGAGCTCCACCAAGACCCTCCTCATTCTAGTTGGAAGCTTAGAGGGCCTTGCCTCCCAGCAAAGTTCCAGCTTTTCCTTCCCTGTTCTTCCTCTTCTTCCTCCTAGCTATGTCTATGAGCATTGTGAGCTTTAGAGCACCAGCATTGCGTTAGTTCCAAGCGAGCTCTTCTCCAAAGCTTCCTTTTTCCTGATCTTGAGAGACCCAAAGTGGTTCTTCCTTGCTCGCTCGCTACAGATCCATAGCTCTCTCCTGGAAGACTGTCGCGTTGCTAGATCGCCGTGTGATCAGCGATGATGCCCACGAAGCTATATGGAGCAAAGCGCCAAGAGCACTCCTTGGACGCTTTTGTGAGCCGAGGACACACACGTGACTCTGGTCAGAAATTACTGCCGCTCTACCGCGTTACCGCGGCAAATGCCCGGCCGGGGCATTTGCAAGAACTTGGACTTCCTCCGCGGTTTTGTCCTGTGGGCGATTGTTAAATCGCTTGGAGCTAGCCGGGGCGGCGAGTGGATTTACCTGTGCTCACACTGACGCTGGGCGCTCGATGTTTCGCTCGCGGTGTCGCCGAATGCACCACCACAGCAACACAACAAAAGAGCTTTTGAATCGCGAGAACGGGGTGTGATGTGATTGCCGAGCTGAGCTCTCTAGAATGTTAAAAGCAAAAAAGAAACGCCCTCTTCTCCTTGTTCGTCTTCTTTCTCTCGTTCTTTGGAGCTCGCACGACGTGAAATGGACTGGATCATTCAATGTGCATGGCAGCTGCATTGGAGGGAATTGTAAAACTGTCCACGAGAATTCTTGAGGGTCAGTCGCAGGAGGGATGATTCGTGTAAGAAAAACTTTTCTTTTCTCTTTCGTCAAAGAGGAAGAGGCCTTAAACAAAGGTTTGGGGGTGAATTGGCCATGGCATTAGTGCCGCACAGAGGCAAATGCATGGATGGGAACTGTTTTCCAAGCGAGAAAATCACGAATCATGCTGGGAGGTTTGTCCATCCGGTTATAAAGATCGCAACAGCGACACCACCCGCAATTTGACACGGTGAGCATTGCGAGCCTATCCTACGCATTCTTATTTTTCTTCCATTTTTCTGTCTTTTCTGGAAAATAAATGTATAAATTCGTAAATGCGGGTTGCTGGGCGCAGCACTATGGGACTGCCATGTCGTCCTTTTTCTTGCAAATTATTGCTTTTATTTTTTTTTTTTCAAATTTCTAAAGAAAAAGATTAGAGACGAGAACTTGCTTGAATCGAGGGACATGGACGTCCCAGCTAAGATCTTCTGCAACTTCTCTCGATTTTTTTGGTCCTCATCACTCACCGAATTCTCGGATGGATGGAACTCTACGAATTACAATGGTCTCCTCTCAATCAATCAATCGAAGTCAAAACGATGAAACTTTCGATCGATCCCTTGCTGGTTTCGCGGCGAGGCAAAATTCCCAAAAAACTACCCTTTCACCGCACGACACGGTGCGCATGATTCGATTCGAAAACCTTTAACAAACCAGATCGTGCGCATTGTCATTGTGTTCCAAAGTCTAGACAGTGGAAGAACAAAGGCCAGGATTCGAACCCGCGAAGAAATCTCCCGCGCTTTTAAGCACCACCGTCGATGCCCCGCGGCGGCAACGGCTGGGATGCGAGGATGTGAAAGTTTTGCCGGGAAAAAGCCGCTTTATTTTGCCGGGAAGGATATGGCATCGAAGAGAGAAAAGGGTTTTTGGAATCGAAGACGATGGATGGATGGATGGACGTATAGGTTGGTGGCAGAAAAGTGTCTACTGATTGTACTGGCAGGCGATTGATCGTCGCAATCGTTTGTTTGCTCGTCCTCTCCTCTCCTTTTCTGGATCTTTTCTCCTTCCATTCGGTGTGTTGTGGTGTTGGGCGATGGCGTGAGCGAGTGTGCGTTGCAGTAATCGGTCCCTCCTCTCGACCCACCTTGGTATCTCGAGCTGGGATGAATCAGAGCTACTTTGGCAGGGACAAGGTCATTAGATAGATCCAAGCTTGGGTTTTATAAAGGGAAATGTGGCATGGAGGATGGATAGATAGATCACGGGCGATGGATTTGCTTAGATGCCTGACCAGATCGCTTTGGAGCGTCGCTATCCTGGATTTAAATGGGTGGTGTTTCTCTTTCACTCCTTTTGGGCCACAGTGATATCCCCTTTAGCACATGAACAGGCCATGAACAGTCAGTCGCTTGTCCCACTGTTCGTGCTCGCCTCTGCCATGGGTCAAGGAACCAGGAAAATCAGGTTTTGATGCTACTTCATGGCTATGGAGGCTGGGATTAGATCGACTAGTTCCATTCCAGGGTCTTGGCGCGAGTAGCGAGAGAAAAAATCCACTTTTTCTTCGATCTCCAAGAGGAATGCTGCTACTCTCGAGGAGGGTATGTACATGTCTATATCGACACCTTCGCGGCGGCAGTATCAGAATGGTTGCCCCTCCGGCACCAGTGGCAGTGGCAGCAAGCTCAAGAACGTATCGGTCACGGTGAGCTTCGCGCTTGTTCTCGTGGGTTTGTCACTGCTGGTCTACGTGAGATCGTTCCTGGCACTTCGCGACGCGTCCGGGCCGGTGTCCTCGATCCCCATCGATGCCTTGCCGGTGGTGATCGCTCTCGCGCAGCGCCAGTACTCACACTCGCGGACGTTCGAGAATGTGAGCGCCAGCCCCTCGCCCAGGAGAAGAGATGGCGAGCGAGAAGGTCACAATGGCAGCTTCCATGGTGGGCGATCCACAAGCTCGTGGGAGAATGCCTCTATTCCTCCATTGGGTGGAGGTGGCGGGCGAGAAGATCACAATGGGAGCTTCCATGGTGGGCGATCGCGATCCAGTAGCTCGTGGGAGACTTCCTCTATTCCTCCATTGCGTCGTGACAATTCGGGCAATTCGAGCGCTCCATCGCCCGTGATCAGCAGTGGCGTCGATCTCCAGGAGCTCCTCGCGATTCCGAGCGGCGCCCAGCGGCGGGAGTGGGTCAAGCGGCACTGGGCGAGCATCGAGATCTTACACTCGGACGAGAGGTCAGCGCAATTCTCCCAGAGAATCAAAGCCTTCCTCAAGGTGACGGCGCACGATCATCACCACCACCACCATCGGCACTGCGCGCCACACTTCTTCCTTGTCTGGATCTCCGCGGTGGAGTCCTACGGCCCGCGCGAGCGCCGCTGCCTGGAGAGCATCTTCAAGCACCACCCGCGATCCTGCGTCGTGATCGTCTCGCGATCGCTCGACACCCCCCAAGGCGAAGACCTCCTCGCCCCTCTCGCCAAGCTCGGCTACCGCGTCATGGCCGCCGCGCCGGATCTCCCATTCCTCTTCGGCTCCACGCCCACGGCGGCGCAGTGGCTCAAGAACCTGCGACGCGGCGCGATCGATCCGGGCGAGATCTCCTTGCGGCAAAACCTGGGCAACATCCTCCGGCTCCTCCTCCTCTACCGCTTCGGCGGGATCTACCTCGATTCCGACGTGCTCGTTCTCGGGAGCCTCGCGAATCTCTCCAATTCCATCGGCGCCCAGACCGAGGATTCGGTCACCGGGGAGTGGCAGCGGCTAAACAACGCGGTGCTCGCGTTTGAGCGGCGCCACCCCGTCCTCCATAGCTTCATCCACGAGTTTGCGTTGACTTTCAACGGGAGCAAATGGGGCCACAACGGGCCGTACCTGGCCACGCGGGTTTTGGACAGGGCGCGGAGGACCGGTACGGTTCCGTGCGGTGTCGTTCGTACGAGGGCGCTGTACCCGGTGACGTGGAACCACATCCCGCCGTTGTTTCGCGGCGTGGAGGGCGAGCGCGGGCGGGCATGGCGGGAGGAGAAGCTGCGATGGCTGAGAAGCGGTGAGTCACTAGCGATCCATCTCTGGAACAAGCAAACCAGGGGATTGCGAGTGGAGCGCGGGAGCGTGATGGAGGATTTACTTCGCAGCCAGTGCGTGGTTTGCGATGATCGCGACGATGGCCATCATGATCTTCCGCAAGGTATAGAGAGAATGCGATAGATTTGGAGACTTGGGCTTTTAGATCGAGTGGGAATAAAACAGCAATGATCGCCATGCATTCTCTTATTTGATCGTTCGTGTATGTGAATCACACAGGAGATGGAAGATCTAGAGGTACTATGTTCGAGAAGTCAAGACTTTGGCAGTGGCTTCTCGACGATTTCTCGACCGAGTGGCGAGGGACCAGACGCCTTGGCGACCCTGTCATTCACACAATGATGGAACTCCACAGCCGCCATCGCTGGGCTCTCGTCGCAAGTTTTGCAAGGGAATCGAGCTGGTGGGGGTGTTGTCAGACTCTCCACGAGCCTTTGATGAGGAGCACCCGGAGCTCTAGCATCCTCCAAGTCGAGCTTGAGAAGATTGAGGTCGTCGCGTAGAACGCTGGAGGGGGAGATGCTCGCGACCGACGAGGAGCCATGATCGCCTGGATCATCAGCTTGTGGTGGTGGATCGCTGGAAGAGGAGCGAGCTTGCGAAGGTGGTGGAGGAGCTTGCGCCGGTGAGGACGAGCCTTTATCGCCTCGAGGTTGTGATGGTAGTGATGGCCATGGATCGCTAGATGGTGTATAGACAAGCTTGCGAGCGACTGAAGATCCGGCCACGGCTTCCGCGGCTGTGCGCTTCCAGATCATGGTAGTCCGCGAAGTTGTAGAGGTGGACGACGCTCGAAGCCTCGTTTCACGAAGCTCTGCATTGGGCTGATCCGGCTCGTCCGTCAAGGATGCGGAGCGCGCCGAGGATGATAATCGAGCGCTTCGTCTCTCTCTCTTGGTTCTCTTGCGGCTGGCGTGGAAGTGGCTGCCGCCATCCAGGCTGGGGTGGTGGTGGCTGACGATGAGGCCAAAGTTTGTGTTCTCGTTGATGTAGAATCGCTGGGGCCTGGGATTGTCCTCCGTGACGTCGTTTGGCGATCGCTGGGAGACGAGATAGATGCAGAGATCGCTGGCGGTGATCCCGATCAGGCGGCTCATCTGGGATTGGAACTTGGCGAAGGAGAGGAGTGGATGGATCCCAATGTGGCCTTTCAAGTGATCCTTCTCGCCGTCGCGGAAGAGCACTGGGTATGGCGTCGCAAAGCTGTCCATTGTTCTGTAGAGGAAGGCCATTCACGTACCCCATGCTGGAATCTTTGCATAAAATATGAAACGATGCGTCATACGATTATGCTCGATGTGCATGATAAGAATAAATATAAAAGTTTAAAACATTTCTTGTTATATTTTGCAATGTCATCGTTTGTATGGTTTTTAAACAAAAGAAGTAATCAATAAGCCTACTTGACTTCTTATTAAAACCAATATATAACAAGCGAAAGAACTGGTCAACGGCGACCAAGGACTGGGAACTATGTTAATACATATATATAACATACAAAGGAAGTGGTCAACATAGTCCAAGGAGTCAAACAAGGACTGAGAACTCCAACTTGCATTAGATCGAGCAACTTCGCGTGTGATCGAAATGAAAGAGAGTTTGCGACCCTTCCTTCATTCCTACAATGATCTCCCACAAGCTCCCAACAAAGCCCAGAACCGTGATTGTCACCCCAAGAACGATGCAGGCCTGTGAAACAAAGAATGTTTAGAGAGTTTCTCCAAGGATTTGAGTGGAGCAATACCATGTTTGCGAGCCAGGAAAGGCTGAGTGGCTCGGGCCGCTTGATTCGAAGCCAAAATAGGCACGGCACCTGCGAGCAAGACAATGCAAATCGATTGTAGCGTAAGTACCTGGCAGCGTAGCCGCGACCAAGGCTCGTACAAAGTATGACGACGGGGCGATGACAAGGCCGCCAACCAGCGCGATTATATTCTTGAAGAAGGGGAAGAGAACTGCGACGAAGCATGTACAAGCTGCCAGGAAGAAAATCTCCAAAAGTCAAGCAAAGCTGCTGCGTGAGAAGTCTGGCATCCTTTTTCTTACCAATGTACGAGTAGCGCGCAAACACAAATGCTGGGAACTGCTTGAATGGACTCATCTTCGAGAAATGCGGCTGAAGCATCTCATAGACCGGCAGCGCGTAAACCTGGAACAAACGTTACTCGAAAAAAAAAAAAATTAGAAACTTTAACGAGAAAACCGATGGAAGTACCTGATAAGCACCAGTGAGGTGAAGCACCAAGAACAAATTGGCTGTGTAGAAGGGCCAGCTTGGCAGATGGCTCGAGTGGAGCAGCCGGAGCACATTACCATAGCATGACAAGTTGCCAAATGCCCAGTATCCCAGCACTGCTACGGGGATGTAGCAAAACGCAACGATCACGTAAGTTGCCACAACTCCGTGCCACATTGCTTTCGTCGACGGTGCTCGCATCAGCGACTGTATCTCCAGCACAACGTTCTGGCCTCCATACGCGAAAGCAATCTGTCCAAAGGCATTGAAGGTCTTGGAAACCCTCCTTTTATTCGGGATGTCGTAGGATATAGCAGCAGAGCGGCGATCATGTAGGTGGATGGCGCTTCCCCAGATGATGGTGGTGTACCTAGAGAGAACGAAAACGTAAGTTCAGCGAAACGTAGTTTTTCATGATCTTACCCGATGGACATGAGCACGGCGAGCGTCGACACCCAAGTCAACGAGGAGAAATTGGGAATGAGGCAGACGGCGAGTTGTGTCGCGGCAAAGACTAGAATGGCTTGGAAATCTCTGAGGCCACCGTTTGCGATCAGAGAGATCGCATGTCCGCCTGTCACCAAGTAAGCGGTGTTCACAGAAACTTGAAGAATCATCTGCAGAGCAAATGCGAAGTACCAGCCACCCCGACCGAATGCTTTTCCTCCCAAGTCGGGAAACCTGTCTATTCTCTCATCTTCCAAGTGATGGAGCTGAACCATTTGCCACAGTGTGCAGAATGTGATGACATAGGAGACGAGCAGCAGCGACATTCCTCCCCACCTGCAAAATCAAGTTTTCACTGAAACAATGGAAATCAAATTCGTAAACCAAGCTTGCTTACCATCCCAAGTAGACCATCGCGGACGGAATTCCCAAAACTCCAGCGCCAATTATCGTCGTTACCAAGTGCACAGTTGAGTACCACCATCTTCCGTCGTGAGCTCCTCCCTGGAGAGCTCTGAACAAGGAAGAAGCGGGCATCTTCTTCCAAGAGTACTTGCCTGTCGGTCTCTACACTTAATTTCGATTCCCGAGCTATACTGAGAATCCTGTACTTATCTTCCGAGCTTTTCCGAGCTCTTCACTGTCCCACGGGCTTTTGTGCTGTCGCTGGTTGTGTAGCTAGAACGTATTGACTTCTTCTAGCCAAAAACATTATTTGACTTTCTCTCTCTCGGAATCTTATTCTACGTATCGCAACACGTCCGAGTCGCTAGGCTCTGTTCAACAATTTGTTTCGTGCGCAAAAGTATACATATTTAGTACCTGGCTGTACAAGAGGCGTAGAAATTTGATTTCTTTGCACATTTCGATCTTAAGCAGTAGCCACCCGCTCTTCAGCGGGTGTAGCATCCCCGTTAATAAGGGTGCACACAAGGTTGCGATCACCATATACATTGTCAACACGACCTGTGGAATTTACCACCTTCAGTAAAAAAAAGTGAAAGCTTTACTGAGTCTTACCAGTTGACGGCCAAAACTTCGAGCTTTCAACCCATGTGGCCGGGTAAGCAGCCAGCTTGCGGGAGTAGGGCTTGTTCCACTTGTCCGACAGGACCATAGAGGCAGAATGAGGCGCTCCCTGAAATCAAAAGCAATAAAATAAGAAATGCTTTGACACAGTCGTGAAGTGAAGTTCACCTTTAGGACGTTGTCCGCAGCGTTACATGTGCCATTTTCTATGGCTCGTATCTCCTCTCGGATCGAGATCATTGCGTCACAGAAGCGGTCCAGCTCCGCCTGTGAGACAAACATGATGAATACATGCATAAACAAAACCAGGATGACATATTGCTGTACCTTGCTCTCGCTTTCTGTTGGTTCGATCATCAATGTCCCATGAACTGGCCAAGACATAGTTGGCGCATGAAAGCCGTAGTCGATTAGACGCTTTGCAACGTCTTCAGGCTCTATATTTGCTGTCGCCTGTACAGGTAATCACCAACAGTTAACCCCGTCTTCAATTAGCAATGGAACGTCACCTTGAATGCTCTCAAATCAACTATGAACTCGTGAGCACAGGTTCCATTTTTGCCTCGGAACAAAATACGATAATGATTCTACAGGAAAGAAAAAATAGCTTTCAGCAAATGCCACTTGGTGAGAGACCTAGTACCTCGAGACGCTTGGCCATATAATTGGCGTTGAGTATCGCCAGCTTTGACGCGCTGGTAAGGCCCTCTGAGCCCATCATTGCAATGTATGTATAGGAAATCGGAAGAATCAACGCAGAACCCCAAGGTGCCGCTGAAATTGTACCCAGGGGTTGTGCTTTTTCTGAACTTGGTGGTATACCGCCAGTCGATACCTGTTAGGAACTCAATGTTACTGAAAGAAAAAAACAACCAAGAAAACAGAAAGAAAAAACATACCACCGGATGAGACGGTAAAAACGGCGTCAAGTGTTTTTTCACTCCAATTGGACCCATTCCTGGGCCACCACCTCCATGAGGTATACAGAATGTCTTGTGGAGATTCAAGTGACAGACATCTGCTCCGATGAATCCAGGACTTGTAAGGCCAACCTGTGAATGATAAATTAGTTATTTGTTAAAAAAAAAAAAACAAGTCATACCTGTGCGTTCATATTAGCACCATCCATGTACACCTGACCTCCATTTTTATGAATTATGTCGCATATGTCATCGATGCCGTCTTCATACACGCCATGAGTAGAAGGATATGTAACCTGTGAATTGCAACGTTAACTATATCCAGGAAATGGAACCAGACATACCATTAACGCAGAAAGGTTATCCTTGTTCGCTTCGGCTGCCTGTTTCAGTTCTGCTATATCAACGTTTCCATTAGCATCTGTACCGATCGAGACGATCTTCATGCCGCACATGGCTGCACTGGCAGGGTTTGTCCCATGAGCTGACACTGGGATGATACAAACGTTCCGATGGCCTTCCCCTTTCGCCTGTAAAATGCAGTTATAAAAACTTATTGCTACCAATAAGAACTGATTACCTTCTGATAAGCACGAATCACCATCAAACCTGTATATTCACCCGCGGCACCAGCATTCGGCTGCAAAGAGACGGAATCAAAGCCTGTGATTTCACATAGAAAGTCTCCAAGATTTTTGAACATTTCCTGTGAGAAAGCAGAAGCGTTACAACGTCGAATAGAAAGAAAATGAGCACTCGACTAACCTGATAACCACCAGTTTGATCGAGAGGAGCAAAAGGATGAATGTTGGCAAACTCAGGAAACGTAACCGGCATCATCTCAACTGTGGCATTCAGCTTCATGGTGCAGGACCCCAACGGGATCATGCTGTGGACTAGGGACAAATCCTTGGCTTGAATTCTATGCAGGTAACGAAGAAGCTCGTGCTCGGAGTGATATCTGTAAAAATAAACATAAAGATCGGATGCAACTAAAACAATAATACTTACGAGTTGAAAATGGGATGTGTCAGGTAAGCACTCTCACGGACCATTTCCTTTGGCAATGACGATCCCGCAGATGGTGCAAGCGATTCGGCAGTAAAATTTACCTGTAAGTTTTTTATTTAATACAACCAAACAAAAAACAGAGAACATACCCGTTTTCCTTTAGCAAATACTTTGAACAAGTTATCTACATCTTCAAGAGTGATTGTCTCATCAAAGGCCACGGTAACCTGGACGAAAAAAATTAAGAGGAAACGAATTATAGCAGCATGAGAATCAAAACGATAGTTACCGTATTCGCGTCTAAGACACGCAAATTGATTCCTTCTTTCGCAGCCGTCTCCGCCAAAGAGGATGCATTCGAAGCGGAAACTTTGACAGTATCAAAGAAAGGGTCGCTACCGACTTGATAACCAAGTTTTTTCACTCCCTCAGAAAACACCGTTGCCAGTCCATGTACCCGATCTGCTATAGCCTTCAAACCCTCTGGTCCATGGTACACAGCATACATAGCGGACATATTTGCCAAAAGAGCCTATAACAACACAAGAGAAATCATGAGATGATGAAGCAACACATATGAACAAAAACCAAAACCATACCTGGGCCGTGCAAATGTTGCTGGTGGCTTTGTCACGTCTTATGTGCTGCTCACGAGTTTGCAAAGCCATACGGAGTGCCGGCTTTCCATTGGAATCAACACTGACTCCAATGATACGTCCCGGCATCATCCGCTTGTATTCCTGCGAGGTGGCCAGGAACGCAGCATGCGGTCCACCGTATCCCAGAGGCACTCCAAATCTCTGTGCCGACCCAACAGCCATATCGGCTCCAATCTCCCCTGGAGGCTTCAAGCACGTAAGTGCTAGCAAGTCAGTCGCCACCACCACCTTTACTCCATTCGCATGAGCGCTCGAAATCAAGCTGGCGTAGTCCGTGATACTACCATCGGTCGCAGGATACTGGACGAGAACACCGCAAACGTCCTTGGAGAACTCAAACTTGTCGGGATCCACGATCGAAGCAGTCATCCCGAGACCATCCGCGCGAGTGACGCAAACATCGATCGTCTGGGGGTGGCAGTTGCTAGCGATCAAGAACTTGGGCCTCTTCCTACTCCCGATGTTGAGACACATTCCCATGGCCTCGGCAGCAGCGGTTCCTTCGTCGAGTAGCGAAGCGTTGGACATCGGCAAGCCCGTGAGCTCGGCGATCATGGTCTGGTAATTGAGAAGCGACTCCAATCTTCCCTGGGCGATCTCGGCCTGGTAAGGTGTGTACTGCGTGTACCATCCCGGATTCTCCATGATGTTGCGAAGGATCACGGGCGGGACGATGGTGTTGTAGTAGCCCATTCCAATGTAGGACTTGGCGATCTTGTTCTTGGCAGCCAGATATTTCATGTGGTCGATCATCTGGCTCTCTGTCAATCCCTCATGGAACTTGCCTGGCAGCGACATCGGCCCCCGCTTGATCGGCTTTGGAACCGTGGCCTCCACAAGCTCATCCATGCTCGAGAATCCCACGACCTCGGCCATTACCTTTTGCTCCTCCGCGCTGGATCCGTTGTGGCGCCGGGGAAAGGTATCGCTCGGACGCAGCGCCTCCACGGAGATGGATCTTGCGGACCATGGCAGCAGCGGCCGGGCGAGGAAAGATTTCGAGCTGCCGCCGCTGGCGCATTGGAATCCGGTGAACGATCCCTGCAAGAGCGATGCCGAGGGCAAGAGCGGCGCCGGCCGGATCGACGACGAAGAATGGAGTCGCCGATACAGCGATCGCTCCTGCTTCAAGCGCCGGATCACCCGGCCCGCCTTCTCCATCGCGTCGACCGTGCCGCTCCCACAAACCCTAGACGCCGAGAACACAGTGACCGCCTATCGTAGAGCTCATGAGGGAGAGCACCAGCCAACTTAGCCGAAGATCTCCGTCACCCTAACGGAGATGCGGCCACGCGGCAGCCCAAGACTCCTCCACGTGGCAAAACCGTCCTGCTGACAGAGGAGCTCCGTCCGATGGAACAGAGTCCGTCCCCTCGCCCAGGCCACTCATACTCCCGGAAACTTGGAAACCATAGAAAAATTGTGGGATAAGAGAATTTAGAAAGACTTCACACTATCAAAATGTGCGTCCTCCTCTTTTCCACCTACAATGTATGTGATCCTCCGCTCACAGCCACCACTCATCTACCAGTCCATGTATGGCGTGAAATAATCCATAGCGATATAAAAAAAAATTCCTTGATTTTTCTGCTATAGCCTTCGAACATAACTATAGAAAACGATGTGATCCTGTGTGACTTTATAAGAATAGTGTGTTTAGCCAGCACAAACAAAAAAGAGTTACATATGATGTGAAAGCTTATTGTTTCATAAAGAGCGAGATGATGTTCTTCTTCACTGTCAACTCGTCGGCCTTGGAGGGATTCACGGCCTGGAAACAAATTGTGTGAGCGTTACAAGGCTTTTTGTGAAGAACAGCAAAGGAAAAAGAAGCTTACCCCTGACAATAGCCTGCTTAAGCGCTCGTGTTCCTTGGCTGGATACTCCTCGCCCTTGGAAGCGATGCTCTTGAGGACTTTCGTGTAGATTGCGCCATATCTTCACGAAACGAAACAGCGTGAGAACCTCTAGCCCGTAATTTTGATCCAAGGATCTTACCCAGCGTCCGAGCCCTCTAGCTTGGCGATGGCTTCATGCAACTTTGTGGAGAGAGATTCCCGCTCGTCAGCTTTGGCAGCTACGAACTCCTGGACAATGTCTTCTAGACTAGAGACAGTTCCGGCCTACAGGAAACGCGTACACGTTAGAAAATCTTTGCATTCAGCTGGACAAGAACTTACCTTGTCAGTGAGAGCACCTTTGGAATCACGGTAAGTGCCACACTTCTCATTCAAAAACTCCACGAACTCGTCAACCGAGCGCGCATCACAATCCTCCCCAGCCTTGTTGGCTTTGGGAAAGAACTTCAGCGTTGGGTAGCCACTTACGTCATATCTGCAAGAACCAATGTGAAAGTGAGTTTGAGTTCACAATGAAGCATCAAACACTTACTTGGTTGCTAGATCCTTGTGAGCATCCGCGTCAAGCTTTGCCACGATCACATTCTTCTCGGCCTTATATGCGGTTGCGACAGACTCATAAGCCTAGAGAAGAAACACGTCAATGCAACATTTATAAGACGCATAAAAGCCAATTGAGTCATACCGGAGCCAAGGATTTGCAGTGTCCACACCTGAAAAGAGACAAGTTTTTTTCGTTTTCGCTTCCTTGCGAGGAATACCAAACAACTTACCAAGGAGCGTAAAATTCCACCAAAACATCCTTCGTGGGGTCGAGCACAATCTCATCGAAATTGGCCGGGGTCAAGACGACAACCTCCGATGCCGCCACACTCAATTTCGCATTCGCACCTACAAGTGATTCGAATAAACTCAAGGTAGGAATTCTCAAAAACGCAAAAGCATACCTCCTTCTGTGTTGACGAATGCAACAAGATCCTCGGCAGTTCGTCCACCAGAGTAACTACACGAACAAGCAAAAAGTTGGCCCATTTATTCATGACGAGAAGAAAAAAAAATTTTACTCTTTGGGTGTGAGAGATCCTTTCGGAAACCACTTGAGAGTGGGATACCCGCTTACGTCAAACTTGGAGCACAAGCTCTTGTGCGCATCGCAATCTATCTGGTTTTCATTCAACCACAAAGTTCCAATATAATCACAAATGTGAGAAAAAAACTCGCCTTTGCGATCGATAAGTGCTTGACTTTCCTAAACGCCGATCCGACCTTCTCATACTCGGGCGCTAGCTTCTTACAATGCCCACACCTGAAAAAATGCGACCGATTCAAATGAGATCCGCCTAGATCCAACGCTTACCAGGGAGCATAAAACTCGACAAGCGCCGCCCTCTCATGCCCGACCTCGTGATCGAAATTGTCGGGCGTGAGGACGAGCACATCCGATTCCTCGCCCCGCGCAGCTCCAGCGATCACGCACAGAGCCACAAACAAGACGGCCAGCATCCTCGCCATCGAGCTTCCACCTAACCCTAAACCACAGTGGCTCAACGAGGCAAATCCAACCGTCCGTTATCAAGATCTAAAGGCCCCTATACGTGCACCTGGCAAGCCATCATTGGGTACGACCACGTCACAAGTTAATATAAAAATTGTTTAGTTTCGGGCAGAGACTAGAACTTGGCATCTTTGTGAGAAATAACGCCCGGCATTTCTAGAGAAGTTACAAGGAAAGTTGTCCAGTATGATCTAGAAACTTACGAGTTGTGGAACTTCTCCTCTAGCAGCGATGTTTCGAGTGTAAGTTGTCCAGTGGCGATAGAGGGCGCCTTTGTTGATGATCTTGATGATGATCTCTGGAGGTTTTTGTACGAGGCGTACCTTCGTCCCTCGAGAGCTTCTGTGGACAATCCTTGATGAGAAAACGAAAACACACAACTGGCTACGTACCTCTTGATCTGATTCTTTGGTTTTCGTGAGCTTGGCGATGCCCGAGTGGAGCTCGGAAGGCTTACGTTTAACTGTTTCTGGTATAGGAGGCTGGAGACAAGAAGTGTGTCATGTAGTTAGAACGAGACAACGAGAAAAATGTACCTGGAGTTCTGCGAGTTGATTGTTGACACTCTCAAGCTCCACTTTGAGCTCCACGACTTCGAGTTTTGCGGCTGTAAGGTTGCTCTCCAGTTTGTCTTGGGTCCGTCTGGCTTTGTCTCTAAAGTCGATCAAGTCCCAGCGTGCATCTTCCAACCGCACCTCGAAGACTTCCGCCCTGGCGGACATTGCGTCGAAAGCCACTTGAAGTTTGGTTTTCGAAGTAAGAAGAGTTCGCATTTCCTGCAGTTAAACCATGTCTGTTAATAAGCCAAATTAGAAAGGCATACCCTTTCACCGCTTTGGACGGTTGCCTCGAGCTTCTCTAGCCGAAGATTATGTTGCAAAGTTCTGGTTCGAAAAAAAAAAAAAAAAAAACACGTCACAAACAAAGCTAAGATCAGAACTAATTTACCTCTCGCCTTGCAAACGTTCATCCGCTTCTGATGCCTGAAGGTGTTGATATTCTTCTTGCAGCTTCTCAAGCTTCTGGTGTTTACAATTGAGTTCCTCCGTCAGCTTCTCGATCTTCCGGTGCTCATAAGTGAGGTCGTCCGTTAGCTTCCCGATCTTCTGATGTTCAAAATTGAGTTCCTTCGTCAGGTTCTCGACTTTCTTGTGCTCACGACTCAGCTCCTCCGCGAACTTCTGGTGTTCACAATCTAGCTCCTTCGACAGCTGCTCGACTTTTTGGTGCTCACAACTGAGCTCCTCCTTCAGGCTCTCAAACTTCTGATGTTCACAATCAAGCTCCTTCGACAGGTTCTCGACTCTCTGGTGCTCAATACTGAGCTCATCGACCACCTTTTCGAGCTTGTGATGTTTACTATTGAGCTCGTCCGTCAGCTTCACTATCTGTAAAACAAAAACAATAACCAGAACTTCTGGATGAGGCAGTTACCTTTTCAGCGTGCAACGCACAAGTGTCGTTTGACGATTTCAATAATTCTTGTAGTCCCTTCACCGTTTCTTCAGTTTTTTGCTTCACAGTTTCCAACTCCTAACAACAAAATATAAATGTAAACATGAAAAATGTAAACAAGAACGCTTACCACAATTTGTTGTTGATAAGATTCAGCTTTCAGTTCAAACTCTTGCACCATATGACCGTCTTCAAGTCTAAAAAGAAAGTTTGTTGTAGTTAAAGACAGTAAAAACTGCTGCTTACCCGCTTCGAATCTCTTTCTCGATATCTTTTTCCACTTCCGTAACCTTCTGTAAGATCGGATCAAGTTCAGCTCTAAGTTTGTCCACCTGCATCAAACATATAACTGATGAAAGACGCATAGAAATATGAGTACCGTTTGGTTCAAAGCAATCTGAAGTCGATTTTCTTTTTCTTCAAGTGTTTCTTCCAGCTTTTTGAGCTCCAAATGCAGGCTGTTCTCTACTGCCTCCATCCGTATGCTCTTGTCAATCTAATAAAAGTAAAACATCAGAACACCCAGCAGAAAATTGACTAACCTCAGAAGACAAAGCTTGTATCTTATTGCTCAAAGCAGAACATTCGCCTTCTTTCTCCTCAATCGCATGTCTTCTTGCAGCAGATACAGCCTTTTCTTCTTCTAGTTTATAATAGACGTCTGTGAGTTCCTGCAAAACTGAACACTTCATATTCAATCAAAATGATTGCAACCTTACCACTACCAAGTCCTGTTTAGCCTCTTCTTGCATCTGCAAGGAAGCATTACGTTCTTGAAGTTGACGATTCTGCAACAGTGTACAGGTTTACGTCAAGTGAATCTAAAGGTATACCAAACATACCAAGTCCTCATAGGCTTGTTGAAGCTCATCCACCTGTAATCTACTTGCTCCGCATTGTTCTGTTGCAGCTCTAAGTTCGATAGCAGTGTTATTTGCTGAACTGACTGCTTTTTCACGCTCCTCTTTCAAAAGTGTGATTTCTTCTGCCGCAGCTTCGACTTGCTTTTCTAACTGCATTATAGTGCTTCTAGCTTCCAGCAGCGAAGTTTCCACCTCATGATAAGCACCCTGCCAGGGCAGTTATTAATATAGAAGTTCTGCATGGAATGAAGCCTCTTACCTGCAACACTTGCAACTCAAAACTCGTCTTTTCCAAATCTACAGCTTTTTGTTGTAGTGCATCCTCGACACAACTCAACTGATGCTTCGCTTTGTTGAAGCATGCCATAGAGTCACGTCTTTTATCCGCAAGAGATTCCTTTCTGTCTATATCCCGTTGAAGCAACGTACTCTGACTTCGAAGAGTTTTTAATTCTCTATCAAAGTTTGCTTTTTCAGCCTACAAAGCAGATGAGCGATGCTTACAGAGAAAAAGATATTTCAAACACTTACCTCTAGTTTGCTTTTATCCTGTAAAGTTGTTCTCAGCTTAGCCTCGGTTTCTTTCAGTTTCGTCTTGGACTTTTCAAGCTCCTTTCGCAAACTGTCTTTCTCTTTCTCAGATGGAAGAGCCTTTACACCCGAAAGATCCTTCTGCAGAGCTAGAATTTCGAGTTTCAGTTTAGAACATTCATCCTCATGGTCAACCTGCAGTAAATATCAGATTCGTGCCAGTATGCAAGAGAACAAGCTGACCTCGGATTTTTTCGTTGCATCCAGCGCTGCAGCTTCGAGCTCAATTATTCGAGCCTCTGCCAGAGTTATTTGATGTTGTAATGCATCCTGACACAAAATCATCAATAATAGGTGGATAAAACAATTAACAGGAGATACCTTCTGGATACTCAAGTTATGTTTAAGCTCTGCAAAAGTATGGCTGCTAAAGAGACGAAGTTCCTCAAAGCACATCACAGGCTCTTTGACCCCAGCCATAAGCTCTTGAATCCAGCCAGTTGCATGAGACATTGAGCCTTCTATTTCAGCCTTCAAATCCTCAAACGCTGTAGCCAATTGTACATATGATCTTCCCGCCTCATCTTTTTCTCGCTGCGACAAGGTATCAGCAAAAAATTAAGAAATGTTTTTTGTATTGGTACCTCTAACTGCATGTTGCGGGTGGTGATATGTTCAATTTGTTGATTTGATTCTTTTAGTTCTTCATGCAGCTGGAATAATCAATAAGTATTAGCTAGAAGGAAAAGACAAAACAGTACCCCCTCAAGAAGCTGTTTGGCGCTATTTGCCTGAATTTTCTGGTGCTCAATTCTGCTATCAAGCTCCCGTTGCATATAAAACTTCTCCATGTCTAGAGTTTCCACCTGCAAAGAAAAAACAGAACTAAAAAACAAACCACGAGGCACATGAAAAAGGTAAACCTGGCTTTGTAAAGCTGCGATAACTTCAGCATGGATATCAAGCTGATTTCCATCTAGGCTTTTACACCTCCGATCTCCATCAGTGTGCTTCGCCTCAGATTTGCAGGCTGTGGCCTTCAACTGTTCATTCTCGTGTCGCAGCTTATCAATCTGGAACGTCACTATAAGACAACAGCTCTCAAATGGTGGACCACATACTTCGGAATTCGCAACTTCGTAATCGCAGTGTAAAGCCTGATATCGAGCTTGTAAATCCAGTAGTTCCTCCTGCCACAATTGTTAGATCATTTGTCTGTCGAAAAAACTAGTTCAGACCTCGTTGGCATGCAAGCGAGCAGATAATTTGTGTCGTCGATCACCAACAAAATTCGATGCACGTGGTGGGACAAACGTTTCCTTGTCCCCGCCAGTGACCTCCTTCGAATCGTTCATAGGAACGTCTTCTTCTTCTTTCAAGACCTCGAATGGCGGTGGGAGTTGCCGTTCGCGATTCGAAACAACATTTGCTTTAAGACTTTGAACCTGTTCACGACGACAGATTAGCTATCAATATTAGCAAACAACATGCTGAATCATACCTCTACTGCCGATTTTGATGATGTCAGCCGCGGACACCAGGTTTCTCGACGGTTTGTCTAAACAACTTGCAACTGTTGAGAGAAGCCAACATTTTCAAATTTACAAACCTTCTTCATGCTTTTGTCGGTGTGCCGATCATCAACTGCCGAATTGAGTACCATGGTGCTTAAGTTCTCTATCTGTTCTTTCATGCGGCGTTCACGTTCAGCCTTATTTTGTAGCTCAAGTGCCATCCTTTCTCTCTCCAGCTCAATCTGGAGAGTGCCTGATTAACCAGAAGCAAAGGTAGCTGGTCGACAATACCTTCAGCATATCATTGCGCAAACTAAGTACTTCTTCTTCTAAGTGTTCAGAGTGGTTTTCCTGCACAAGATAATAATCAGACGTCATAGTACAAGTGCTTCCGCTAAAAACCTGTAGCTTCTTTCTTAATTCCTCAATTTCTCTTTTCTGTCGTTTCAGCAGTGCGGCATCTGTAACAATCTGAGAAGAACAGAAGTATTGCTTCTCAGAGTTCCAAATACCAATGCATTTTTACCTCGTTCACTTGAGCACAATTAGTTACTCTTATAGCTCGACTGGCAAATTGTAGTGTACCCTTGGTCTCGTCAACGTGCACCTACAAATAAAAAGAGCATTCGGTAAGAAGGAAAAAAAGAGAGCAACCTATACCATTGCCGGTGTAACGTTACAGATGATAACAGTTCGAGCATTTCCACCTAAAGCAGGCTGAAGGATCCGCGTTAATTTGCTATCCCGGTAAGGGACGTGACCCCTTAGTAAACGAGTTAGTCGCCCCCAAGGTTATATATCAAAAGGCTCATACCCCTGACTTTCAATTCCTTCACTTAGTTTGTTGATTACAGTTCCGAGAGTCATCAAGCTTTTGTTGATATGAGAACCTTCTTTTAGGCGAGCTCCTTCAGCTCCGGTTTTAGCAACGCGTTCCGAGCCAGCCAAATCTACAAGATTCTGGCCAAAAGAGCTGCGCGGTCAGCAAGAAAAGAAACACTGTAATCAGAAAACTCACCAAAACGGAAACACGGACAGCGTCACAAGTTTGCAAGGCATCGTCCTGACTTCTGTCTCTACTTTCAATCACCTTGAAGAAAAAATGAAATACAAAACTCAAATAGTCAAGAAGCACAATGTGTACCATTCTGAATATCGTATGAGACCTGCTACTGTACACATTCATATTTGTCTCGCCAACGTGCCGATGCGCTGCCAAAGCGAAAACACAGTAAGCCAAGGAATGGAGTAGAAAAATATATACCTTCTCCGAAGTCCAGCAACTGTAACACTTGTTCCGGACAAGAAACTATCTCCTCCCTCAACCCAGCAACAAATATTCCACGCTACAGCATGGAGCTTGTTAAACAGTAGTTTCGACTGGAAAACTCTTACCTCAATGTTTTCATGAACTTGGAGCTTCCTGTTCTCCGGAGCCAAAAGATCATTAATTTCTTCATTGTAGATTTCCATGTATGATACCCGCAACAAAAACTCTCTATCTTCCGCCTGCACATTGGAAAGAAAGCACAGTCATATAGGAAGCATCTGGAGCTACTCTACCTTCTGAATGTTGGCAAAAACATCTAGAACTGACAAAGGAACTATACCAGGCTCGCCAGGAGAACCTCTCATGGTGTAAGTCTTCCCGCTGCTCGTCTGCCCATAGGCGAAAACAGTTCCTGGAAAAAAAATTCTCCAACTTCCAACCAAAAGAAGCAAGAACCTCAACTCACCATTGATGCCCTTCACGGCAGAGCTGATAATCGCTTTGGTATGAGCATCGTACAGCTCCACTGTTTTCTCTTCCGTCCCAAAAACGCTGTCTATCATCCAGAGCATTACTCGCAACAGCTCAAAGAGAAAGAATTGGCTATGAGCGTACCGAAGATGTAAGTGTGACCGGGCAGCACCGTCCCAGTGGCAGCATTGCACAAAGAAATGGCGTTGGATGAGATCTTCCAAGGGCTTCCTTTGGCGGATTCCTGCTTGCTGAGCGGCCGGACACGAATGGAGACTACAATCTTCTCCATCGCGGCAGTGGCGCCCTGATCTAGCCTAGAATACCTCTCAGCGAGCTCGCCCCGGCCCCAAAACCCTGAGGCGCGCGTCCATCGCTGCTCCGAGGAGCATATCCCTTAGGGCAAATTTGAAATTTGGCGGGAAAAAGGTTTTATCTCAGATCAATAACATCGAATTTCACTTTGGGGTCTAGATATACATGGCTGGTTCTATGGTACAGTGCCGTTCCATCGCTTGTTGGATCGTGCCCATGGAAGCCACGCTTGGAGCATTGCTGGATTACGTTCATTCCACCAGGGTCGGAGAGCCGAAAAATTCCAAAGTTTCTGCAAGAACAAAAGAATTCTCTCAGCTAGAGTTGAGCCAAACCATGGAGAAATCTACTCACTTGGATGCGTCTTGCGGTGCCATCACGATCGCTATCGCTTCTGGCAACATCACCTGTGATGGAAAAGCTTGTTTCTTTTCGCAACGAAATAAAGAACACTGTGTACCTGGTAAGAGTAGTGTGTATGAACGTCGACGGATGACATGAAACAGGATTGCGTGGGATGTGTCTGCGGAAAAAGTGAGTTTGAGCTTCACAGAAAATGGAACGTCTAGTGCTTACGTGAATCCATCCCAGTTGAAATAGGCCACGCTTGTCTTGAGCGAAGAAAATCTCTTCCTCGTCTATCGTCTCGCACTGCAAGTAACTAAATAAGTTTCGTTACGTGATATTGATCGCTTACGGTATTGGCAGTCGCTTGTTGCTTCGGAATGATCAGGGCAGTCACAAAGAAATTCCCGCCTTCCTACAATCGCAAAAGACTACTATGAAAAATGCGATGTAAGCGCAAGTAGTTCGTACCAGGGAGCCGGCTAAAACCCCACAAGTCTCAATGTTTTTTGACGTGTTGGACTTCGCCATCCTCATAAACTCGTTCATCAGTGAAGATGACTGCAACGACACTCGTAAGCGTCAAAGAAAAAAATGAACTTATAATCGTTACCATATGCAAGTGCTTGGGTTCCTTTGACGGTAATGCATCGATTTCCAACGACAAGTCAGGCTCATTACTGACGGGCGAGCAGCTCTCTTGCGACATTTCAACTGGAACGGAGACAGGGGGAGGGGAGAGCTGATTTACTAGATCAAATTGCGAGGGTGGCTCCACTGGTTGAAGTAGAGTCACGACATCTTCATCCTTTTGGTCCAAAACAGCTTCTAGAGCCTCAGGTTGAGTGGGCGGCGTTACACTGTTGAAAAACAAAACTTTAGCATCTTCTTTTTCTCTCTCGGTAAATGACCAATACCTGTTTGCTTCCGGAGGAGCGGGGTCGAAAAGGCATGGATATTGGATCTAAATTGCATGCTGTCAATGCCGCAGTAAGTACAATTTCGCAAACCTTAAAAGGCTCCAAGGGCTTCGAAATGTGAGGCTTCGAGACGAGAAAAGAATGTCTAGCTATGGTCTCAGCACTGGGAGTGGGAAGCCTCCACGACCTGCATTTAAACAAAGAAAAACTCTAAGTACCGTATAAAGATCAGCAGCAGACATTACTAACAACTTGTTTTCGAACAAGGAAGCCTTATATACATTTCCGTTATTATCTTGAGAACTTAAAACAGGTTGTTGTTTCTCCTGGAAACCAAAAGAGCTCGAACAAGCATACAGAACAAAAGAGAGACATACCTGACGAACTGGAATTGCTTGCCTAGTTGCCAGCTGATTTCTCGCACGAACCAGCGATTGTACATCAGGTTTTAGCGTTTCCAGCTCTTGCAAAGCCTCCACAAGTTTCTGAGCCACCACTGATCAGATTCATGAGCCTGGAGGAATAGATGAACTCACTTACTCTTTTCAAATGCAACTTATCCAGATGGTTGCTTCCCAGGTACTGTCGATGATCCGGAATGGTTTCCGACACCAAGCTGGCGTACCGCAACAGCAACACATAGAGCTCCAGTGTATTAGCCTCACGCCTATAGACACTAGCCTGCCAAGAACAAACCCCAAATCACTGAGCGAGAATTCTCCCAATCAATCCTCCCAATACCTGTTTGAGGATGTTATCGGCTGTGCGGAAGTAGATCTTAAGCGACAGGCGATGATCCACGCGCCGCCGGGGAGCGAATGCCTCCACCGAGAACGCATCGCCATCCGCTGGCGCCATTGCGCTCTCCAAAAACCCTAGAAACCAATCCCCTGTTGAAGAGAGAAGAAAAAACAAAGAAAGTTCTTGCGTGTAAACCAACGACTAGGATCGACCAATCTCGGCCGTCCAAATCCTGCATAGAGATACAAAAAAAAAAGACCAAAACAAAACAAAGAAAAAAAAAACTTCACACTGTTAGAGAGAGAATAAGAACAACAACGTAGAACAAACGAAGAACACTGGATGGACGACTGCGTTTTACAAATAGAAGACGATGTGAAGATAGCTGGAAAAAATTCCGCGCGTTAGCCACCATAATCTTTAGCCGAGAACTTATCTTCCGGGTAGTATGTTGCCTGGACGGTCCTCTTGTCAAAGCTCCGGCCTTGCAATCCATGCCGCGCCTTGAGCGCCGAGACCAAATCCTTGTACTCGAGGAACACCTTCCCGAGCCCCGGAGCTCCATCGCCGCGAGGAATCTCCACGCTCACCAGCGGCCCATACTTCCCACACTCCTCCTTCATATCCTCGATGATCTCCGCGTACTCCTTCTCGTCTCGCAGCATCTCCTCGGACACGGCGTTGCAAAGGCACACCACCCGAGTCCCCAGCTCAGAGCTCTGCGGGAGAAGAACGAGCGCCGGGTTCCCGGACGAGTTCGTCGCGCGGTGGACGCGCAGGATCTTCCCCTCGAGTGGCTTCTGGTTGAGCGCTGCGCAAGCCGCGTCGGTGGATGCCGGGTTCTCGTAAACCGCGAAGCCATAGCCTTTGGACTTTCGAGTGTACGAGTCCTTGACGATGTCGAGCGCGCGGAGAGCTCCGAATGGTTCTAGCAGCTGGCGGACCTCCGCGTCGCCCCACTCGTAAGGGAGCCCCCCGATGAAGATCCTGTCCGGTCCATCGGCGTGAGCGCGGTAGACCAATCCAACTTTGTCGAGCCGCAGAGACGGGCTCGGCTGGGACGATCCAAACAGCATGGCGTGCTCGGGGTTGTAGTTACTGGGCCTCCGGATCCGGACTTGCGAGCCCTCGAAGATGATCCCGTCCAGAGCCATGGCGTTGCTGGCCTCCTCCACCGAGCGCATCTCAACAAACGCGTAGTTCTTGGCGTGGTCGATGAAGACGCTCACCACGGCGTCGCCACCCTGGCCGTAAGTGTTGCCTTCGATGACTGCCATGGCGTGGTTAAAGAAGGTGGCGATCCGGGCCTCGTCCACCACGGCCGGGAGGCCGCCAACGTAGACCCGGCGAGCCGGCTTGGTGATCTGCGGCATCTGTGGCATTCGCAGCACCACCGGGAGCTGGGCTATCCCGGCTGGAAGAACTACTGGTTGCGATGGCTGGACCTGGACCTGGACCTGCGAGGATTGCTGCTGCGATGGCTGGAGCTGCGATGCTTGCTGCGATTGCTGAAGCTGCTGAGGCTGTGCTTGCTGCTGCTGCTGCTGCTGTTGATGGTTTTGGTTCTGGCTCTCCGATCGAGAGCGCGATCTAGATCGCGGTGGCGATGGCGATGGCGATGATTTCCCACTGCTGCTACTGTCCCTTGTTCTTCTTCTTCGCCTTCTTTCTCTACTGCCGCTACTACTGCTGCTCGGGGATCTATATCGCCGGGGACGAGGCTGGTAAGAGCTCCTACTGTGGCGTCTACTGTCGTGGTTCCTATAGCGATTCCTCTCCCTGGACCTGGAGCGCATTCTCCTGTCGTCCCGGGAGCGCGAGCGCGCTCGCCGCCGGGAGCTCCCGCTGTGCCTGTGATCGTCGTTGCGGCGGCGCTCGTCTGGATCCCGCTGGCTCCTGCGGGTGCTGCTGGGCGGAGATTTTACCTCGTTGCGCGCGGAATCGCCGTCCGGCTTAGATGGATCTGAGGTAGCGGCCCTAGGCGCCATGACGCTCAAGAACCCTAGCTCTTCCCCCCTTTGTGTGTTTTAGTACAGTCAGGTAGGGTTCTACCTATAATCGAATCGATTCGATGGCCGCGGCCTCGAGCAAGCGAGCGCCAGCAAGGATTGTATCGCATTTCAATCCCTTCCTCTGGATCATCGCATTCCAGAGCGCGCCATGGCAGGCGCAGTGGCGAAATCTCCTCACCGTGGTCTCGATCATCGCCATCGCAATGCTCGATGGCGCGAATCTATGCCCTGGATTTCCTCCACCAGTGATGGCAGCATATACCCGGGGCGGGCATCTCCATCCAATCGAAGAACACCGATGAATGATGGTAGCGATGGATTCCAGGCAAATCGAACGATGCCAGCTCTGCCATATCAGGCGGGGATCCGACGGCTCCGGCTGCCCGCCACGCCAGCAAATAAGGCGGGTAGGGTTCCAAGCTCTAGGGTTTGGTGTGTGTGGGAAGAAGCTCTGTGTCGAGGTAAGCGGCCGCTCGCTGGCTCTTGTTTCTCTCTGCTGATTCTCGGCGCCAGGATTCCCTCCAGATTCTAGGTTTCTTATGCTGTTCTGAGGCGATTTCCGGGGTATGGCAGGGTACGAGGACGATCCTCCCGCAAGAGAGCAGCCGCAGAATGGGTCGGCCTATGATCGAGAGGGCGAGAGGGATCGTCACAGCCGAGACAGGGATTTCGGCGGCCGGGATCGCGAGAGACGGCACCACCGGGACAGGGAAAGGGGCGACAGGGGCGGCGAGAAAGAAAAGGAAGAGGGCCGCTACGACAGGGACAGGGATCACCACCACCGCAAGGGCGGCCACCACGATCGCAAGCACCACAAGCGCCAGTCGAGATCACACTCGAGGTCCCGCGGCAAGTCCCGCGAGCACGACCACTCGAGATCGCGCTCGCGGTCCCGGTCGGGGTCCGAGGATCGCCGGGCCAAGAGGGCGAGTGGATTCGACGTGCCTCCGACCTCCACGACGCAGGTGCTCGCCAACCCCCCCGGCTTCTTCCCCGCGGTGATGCCGCCGCTGGCGGCCTTTGCCATGCCTCCGCAAACCATGACCCAGCAGGCCACTCGCCACGCCCGCCAAGTCTACGTCGGCGGCCTCCCGGGGCTCGTGAACGAGCAAACCATCGCCACCTTTTTCAACCAGGTGATGGTGAATGTCGGGGGCAACACCGCCGGCCCCGGGGACGTGGTCGTGAACGTCTACATAAACCAGGAGAAGAAGTTCGCGTTTGTGGAGATGAGGACGGTGGAGGAGGCGAGCAACGCCATGGCCCTGGACGGGATCAGCTTCCAGGGCGTGTCGGTGAGAGTGAGGAGGCCGAGTGACTACAACCCGTCGGTGGCTGCGAACCTCGGCCCCAGCCAGCCGAGTCCGAGCCTCAACCTCGCCGCCGTCGGGCTCACCCCCGGGGCCGGAGGCGGCGTTGACGGCCCCGACAGGATCTTTGTCGGGGGCCTGCCGTACTACCTGACCGAGCCGCAGATCCGGGAGCTGCTGGAGTCGTTTGGCCCGCTTCGTGGGTTTGATCTCGTCAAGGACCGCGAGTCCGGGAACTCGAAAGGCTATGGCTTCTGCGTGTACCAGGATCCAAACGTGACGGACGTGGCCTGCGCGGCGCTCAACGGGCTGAAGATGGGGGACAGGACTCTGACGGTGCGGCGGGCGACGGCAAACGGGCAGCAGGCCGGGCAGGATCACGCTCACATCCTCAGCCTCGCCAAGAGCTTGACGATGAACGGCGTGTTCCCGGACGAGGGCGCGACGAGGGTGCTGTGCCTCAAGGAGGCGGTGCTGGAGGCGGAGCTCATCGAGGACGAGCAGTTTGACGAGATACTGGAGGACATGCGCGACGAGTGCGGCAAGTTTGGGACGGTGCTCCACTTGGTGATACCGCGGCCGTCGCAGGCGGCTGAGGTGGACGGCGTGGGGAAGGTTTTCGTGCACTTTGAGGATACCGGCGCCGCGACGCGGGCGAGGATATCGCTCAACGGCAGGAAGTTTGATGGGAGGGCGGTGGTGGCGACTTACTACCCGGAGGAACAGTTCATGGTGGGGGATTTCAGTGGTTGAGTCGAAGAGGATGGTCTGGTCGACAAGCACAGGCGCAGGCTACACACTCGAGAGAGGCAGAAGGGGAAAAGCTCGTTTTGGTCGGCTGGTTTTGTTTCTTGGGTCTTGCAATGATCGAGCGAGACTATGGTTCGTGAGATGGAATTCAAGGGGTACCAGCCGGGCTGCTCTTGTAGTGTTCTCACGGTTTTCTTTTTTCTCTCTTTCGTTACTACTTGATAAGTTTGCGTTTGATGTGTAGGAATGAATGGGAGGAGCAACCTCCCAGGTATGTCTCTGTTTTACTTTTCTTTTCTTTCGATTTCACAGAACTTTGGAGTTGTGCGTTCCAGTACTATCCAGGTACACTCTTGGATCATATCCCTTGGCTAAAGTTTGCTAAAGCTTGCTTCATTGTAGGATACGTGAAAGGAGCAGCTGCATGGCAATTGGAGTATTTGTCCACGAACTGGATCATCTCTCCGTACGAGTAATCCATTTCTCCCTCGACCTTTGGAAACGGCAAGGAATGGCCTCGATCTGGATACTCGACAAGCTTTGCATCCTTTCCAGCTTTCGGGAGCTCTTGGTAGTACTCCACTTGGCGGCTGTAGAGCAAGTCTCGAACCAGCAGCAGCGATGGCGGCATTGGATCGATATCTCCTCGGCACTCGGGACTCTGCAGTAGTCATGGTCGCGGCTGGCACCCTCGGGGAGACAAAGTCGCCAGAGAGCATCGCAGTAGCGTGAGAACGTCGGGCCGCTGGAGCGACTGGATCTCGGACTTGGATCTCTCCTCGGCTCCAAAGAATGGAACTACTGTGGGATGAGTCCTTCGATCCCCAGCGGCGAGAGGTGGCAGTGGGTCAATCGGGCAGCCATGTCCTTCCGGAGCTGATGGCCGGGAGAAATCCACGTTCTGGAGCCAGGGGTCGCGATCCACGGGCGATTGCTGGGCCTGGGACTGAAGCCACTGAAGAGACACGAAAGAATCGTCACCCCATCTTTTGGGAGATGGCACCGCAAAGATATTGGAAAATGTCCAAAGCATGGGAGAAGGCGACGAATCCACTGCCATGGAAGTAGACGAGTAGCGCGCGCTTGCCGGTGGTAGCCGATCTGATTCGAGCCCATATTCCCGTTCCTCGCTCCAGGATCACGCCCTTGCATCCAAATTCGCCCTTGTTGAAGCTCGGACAATCCGGGCACTACATCGCCCAGCAGCTCGCAATTGGCCATCGCCCACACAGAAAACAAAAGTATTGGAGAGGCATCTGTATATATATAAAGCGAGGAGCGGAGGTCTGTAGCCGTCTGATCGCAGGCATGGGGAGGCTTGGTATCCACGGTGGGGGAAAAATAACGTGTAGCAATGCTCTCCTGGGCACATGCCACATAAAATTTAGGGTTGTGCACAATTATTTGGAAGATGTGTGCTCAACAAGTTGTAGGCTTCATCCTATGGCTTGTGCTTTTAGAATTGACCAGCACTAGAACTACTCCAGATCTTCCAAGACCAATACCAAGAAACTAAGTTATGCATTGGCACTTCCTAACATGTGGTTGGTGAGTTTAGTCACTGAGAGCAACTTGAGACTGCTGCGTTGGGTGTTTGCCAGCCAATGAAATGAAAGCATGCTGGCTAGGACAGAGGAACACCTATTTGACACTGAAAAAAGGCCACATCATGATAGCTGTTGGGACAAGGTTCCATGGCTTTGTTGGTGGCTCTGTTTGATTGAGAGATTGGAAGAAAAATGTTCTTTTATGTGTTCTATTCTTTAGCATGAATGCATTTCCAATGGAACTCCAACACTTGGTTTCTAACGCTGCATTGCTTTCCTTAACACAGATTTGATTTTATTTATCAAAGAATGGATACTAACGCACTATAAACCAAAATTATGTTATTTTATTAGATAAGTTTAGCTTATGAATACACTAGATAATTTAGAAATATAGTTTTATGACACTAGAACACTATAAACTATGTGTATTATGGGAATGGAATATAGAAATATGCATATCAATTTGCCCAAAAACCCTAGTTTATATATAAAACTGAGTACTTCAAATTAAAACCAATCCAATTTTTATTAAAATCCTAGTATACTAATATTAATATACAACATTATAATTGTACGCTTATACTTCACATCATCCCCTCCTCTCAAAAGGATAGAAAGCAATTAAGTTCTTTGGTTGACAAGCTAAAATCTAAAGGAACATCAAGATGAGGGATTAATGAATTTATAAGTAGTGTTAATTGTTCTTTATCCCTTTGTATGAAGCATTTTAGTTAATGCATATGCACAAATCAGCATATTGAACATTTGGGAAAATGAATTAATATTGTCATCCACTTTATACTCTATAATGAACAATAATAGGAATTGTAGCATTATTATTGTCCCATTTATATGCAACCCAACAAACTCTAGTCAAACTAATAGAAGAATGTTCATTATATATAAATCCTAAAATCTAACTGTAAGCAACTAAAGAGAATAACTCAAAAGATAATTTATGATGTTTAAATATAAAAGGAAAAGGCCCATAAATAAGAGTGCACTTCTTTTTCCAATCAGTTAAAAGTCTTGGGATACTTAAGGGTAAATATCTTTGGGTTTGAATAGTATTGAGACAGGTGACCTCCTAGAAGTCTAAATTCAAGAGCTTACACTAGCATTAGCAACTCGTTAAAAGGAAGTATTTAACAGTTATCACGGATGCACTAACAAAATCATTGACTTCCAGTAATTATATGCAATAATGATGTAGGTTAGGGTTATGAATCAGCTAGCAAGTAACCTGTTCACAACTATAGTTAGCTTGGCTACAACTCTTCTACATACTTCAGTTTAGGCTATAGCACTACTCTATAGTTGGTGCTCATTGTGGTATATGTGTGGTTGACTGCTACCAGCTTTGTGTGTTCTATATACAATTGTCAAGGGCAGGTG